ATTTGTGAATGTCCATGCAGTGTTTGTGACTAACAATTACGTTCCCCATGTCAGAGTGAGTCTGTTCATCCCACCAAAAACCCGAACACGCTGGGCGACCGCAACACGCTGCGACGGGAGTGGGCGAGAGCCGGACGCTCTTTCAAGGAGCAGCCTCTTGACCTTGTGCGGTAAGTTCATGCCCTATCCACTGCTGGATGAAGACTTCTCCAAGCCTTCACCATCTCTCCCAGTCTCCTGATGCAACGATCGATGTAGCCCCTGCACACATGCTGATTTTATTACTTAAATCTCTGTGGCGCACATCCTTTCAGATGCATTCCTTCTCTTGACTGCCACATCATTCTTAGTCTTGACCACAGGTCATCGTACCTCTTAGGGATGTGCCCTGTCCAGGAAGGTCCTAAGGCTGGACTTGAATGCTAGCTGTGAGTTGATAGCACAGAAGGCTGGGGAAGTGGAGTTCCAGAATAGCATTTGCCCATGCCTTCCCTGCTCTTCACATTTCCCTCCAGCACATGGCCCTTGCTTACATATTCGATAGCTACACCACTGGTGCCATGTGCGGTTGGTGATGTTTGCGCTGTGTGTGCGAGTGATGTTGTCGGCACAGGTCATACTTCGGGGAGCAAGTGGGGCTCTATTTTGCATGGCTCGGCTTCTACACAAAGATGCTGATCTTCACTGCAATCGTCGGCCTGATCTCCTTTTTCTTTGGAGTATTCAGCAAGGACCGTGACATCACTAGGTACTGGCCCGACACATGCATACAGACAAATGCATACAAACACACACATACACGCATGTATCAGATGTAGAACTCACACAGAGATCTCTTGCATGGCAATACAGACTGAATAATGAGTATCAGGCAAGCACCTACTAAGGCTACATATACACGTACAGTACACATAAACATACATATACACTTATATACAATCCCATGGGATGCTGCCATGGTGATATAGTTATATCACTGGAATTGCAGTTTAGAGCTTTCCAGTGCGATCGCCTGGCATGACAGCTGAAATAATGGCTAGGTTTCTTCAATTATCCCACCTATGCTCAGCAGTATAAACAGAGACACTGCGGTTAGATGATTGGCAGTTCACATGTGGTGGGGTAAAATGTGGGTACTCCCACCGTGTCCAAGACGTCTGGCCATTATGGACGAGTAGGCCAAATATCATCTCGAGGGGCAATCTAGAGTATCCTTTAGTGGAGGACCTTCCACCAGCAGTGGCATGAGCAAGAAATTTCAGGGCCACATCTTTAACATTTCACCACTAAATGTACATATGCACATATATACAATCTCATTATACAGTTTATACACATATACAGTACAAATATAGTACATTAAATATATTGTATATGTTCCAAATGTCTCCGTTTATATAAAATTAAATAAAAAAAATCGAACCTAGATACAATATTTCGGACAATCCAGGGAAAATTAAACATTGTTTTGGATTGCTCAGAAAACATGACATCGCCCATTGTGACGTCACTCACGACACGCATCACGTGGCATCGGGTTTCGTCACTCTTGTTCACATGAATATATTGTACATTCTTTGTAAATACTCCGAAAATCAAAAGCAAAAAATATTCAAATCCAAAATGTTTAAATGTGAAACGTATCCTTATAATACGACTTACACACATAGACTCTGTGGGGCTGCATGACGGACAGCGGGAAGGAAGTGCAGGAAATACATTGCTGTACTCTATGTCTGAAGTCTTCGCTTCCCATATTCAGCCCGTACTGACCAGTGTCGTAGACTAGAACCAAATAGCCCCCATGACCCACAAGGTGTGGGGAGGCCCTCAGCCAGCAGTGGATTGATAAAAGGGCTGTAAACACCCCTGCAAATCAATACATGGAGATGTTACACCACTGATATCAACGAAAATAATAATTAAACATCAGGAAATACATTTTACTTTGGAAAATGCTCGATATTAGCACCCATTGTTTAGTTTGACTTTGTTTAAAGGGAGAGTAAGACACATTCAAAGGCAGCATGTCCTTTAGGCAAATTATATTTCTCATCCAAGTGTACTATGCCCATTAGTGTGTTTATGTTCGTGCGTGTCTATGTCTGCAGTGGAGAAATATGCAACACCATCGGAGGATCCCTGCTCATGTGTCCCCAGTGTGACCAAAGATGCACCTTTTGGAGGCTAAATGATACCTGCGAGACTGCGAAGGTATCACACAAATACACCATCGATGTTCCCTCTAAATAAGGATACTTATTGGTTATTGGTGCTGTGCATCATTATCACAAGACGAATTCACGTTAATGAGATTGTATCATTAACATTAACCATGATCACTAGATTGTAGCACATCATGCTAAACACTATTCTGCCATTCGTGTGGGTGTTAGAGAATTTATGATACTAATAATACACGTGTGATCATTTTGAAGGTAGTTAGTTATAGTTTTAGTAAATAGGGCATTTTAATGGACTAAGTCGATGGTTTGACAAATACATGAAAATGAATGTATCGTCACATCCCAGCGGGAGTGCAAAAGTGACTTTGTCTGAGTAAATCCGACTCGATGTATTTCATGAGTATTTCTCCACGATCAATACAAGTGGACAAAGTATTTTTGAAATCTGAATTTCAGTGCTAATTAGTTGACGTCATGCCGAAATAATGATTATTCACTTTAAAGTGTCTGAAATGGATGTCCACAATCATGGACCTGCCCATTGCTTATTTTGCTCTTTCTGTCACATTTATACAGATTTGTTTGATACATGAATAGCGCTATAATATCAGACATTGTAGAGCATTCTCATCTCCACAATTTAATGGATGTTTCATGAGTGATTAATCTATTTTAACTTAAAAATCAATCGATGCATCGTTACTTTCCTGCTGTTGATATTGAAAAGACGTGAATGTTAAGATTTAATTGTGACTAACACCTCTGATTGTGCCGTTGCAGACTTCACACATGTATGAAAATCCGGTCACCATATTCTTCGCAGTTTTCATGGGACTTTGGGGTAAGTGATGCTAAGCATTGACATACATTGTCCAGACACAGTGACAGGTATCAACATGTTTGCAATGATGATGAGCACATTTGGCCACGTACAGTGTTAAAGAAGTTCAACATACATACGTACAACCATATACAGTACCATCATGTCTTGCAATGTTCGTATGCAGTGATCCTGACAGTCCTATTATGAACCCACTGCTCAATGAGGGCAAATTTGGATCATAACTTGCACACATTGTCCTACTCTTACGAATGATAACCGATAATCTTTAATGTCCACTGTGAAGCAGATGGTGTGTATTTTTTGTGTAATTAATACACCGGCAATATTAATCAGGGCAGCCACATAATTTGAACCACGAACCTCTGCAACAAGCAACGAATGCGCTACCCCAAGGCGATTCCATGAAAAATATAAAGTGGCCAGGTGGCTCAGAGTTCAGAGTGCTGCGTTGCCGCCGCTGAGATTCTGTGTTGGAATGAAAGTGGCCACCTGCGATTAAACCAGTTTATCATTTATAGTGAGATGATGGTCTCAACTCAGTCACCGATATCTGCACAATAAATACAAAAAATCCATAATGTTAAAGTTGGTTCTGTACTTAATTAGGCTACATTCCAGCTCTGAGAATAAAAATGTTAGCTTGACTATCACGTAACAAACGCTCCTCTCCGTGGCAAAGCAGTTGGGATAGAGCTACCCCTACTGTGTGGATCAGAGATCACAGAGGTAGCTCTGTGACATTCGCTTTTGTGTAACGTTTTGTAACACGAAGAGTAGCACTGCTCTGTTATAGATCCAAAAGAAAACTCAATCTTATGCCATGCCACTCGTAGTGCAAGTGGGATAAAATTGTGGCAATGTACCAAAAAAAGCCAATAAAGTTATTTATGAAAGAAAAAAAAGTACTAATGAAGTTACTTTGAACATTACATTTAACAGACTACATCAGGTAACTTTTGAATCCTTGAGCAATCGATAGTAAAATTACTTTTCAAAGTAAATCCTCCCCGTGTGGTGTGTCGCAACAGCCACGGTGTTCCTAAAATTTTGGAAGCGTCGCCAGGCATCGCTCGCGTACCGCTGGGACCTGACGGCAGCGGCGCAGGAGGGAGACCCCATCCGTCCCGAGTACCTGGCTCGCTGCACGACCACGAAATGTAACATCATCACCATGGTAATGCTTTCTGCCGTCACCACGGCGACTACCTCATTGCACACACACACCTCTGTTTTGTAATGTTGCATGTGTAACTGTTCACTGTTTTCCTAGTTTTTCTTCTAAAATATTTGTTGGCCTTTGCTCAATTGTGTTTTACTCCCAATATTATCCCGATTGTCCTATTGGCATGATTATGAAACAATGCCCATTTGGAACTCTATGTTATGGAAAGGTTTGCTCAAGCAGATGTTACGTAATTACTCCTAAGATCCCTTCAAGTGAACACACACTAGAGAGTGGCCCTTTCCCATCAGCCTTGCTAAAAATATATGTTCTTGATGGTCAAACTAATCTTTTTAAATTCTGAAAGGTGAAATTTGGCCAAATTAAGAAAAGAAACAAATGTAATATTGGTGACCAGGCTGATCGGCTTACTACTTGGTTTTATTGGAGGCAGCTGCCTGGATTAAAACCAAGAAATCTCTGCGTTGCCAGCTCAACTCTCAGACATCAGAACCATCAAATACATTACTTTATATCATCGCATGCTTAACTAGTAGTGGGGAAAACAAATAATGGTTCATCAGTAAACCTTAACGGCTCACACTAACATTGGTCACTCCGACAGACTAATCTATGTACAAATGCTTTTTCGTCTGTGTCCGTGCATTGTGAGTGCAGGAGGAGGAGCCTCATATGCCTAAGAGGACACTGAGGTTCCGTTACTGCCTCTCCGGGATCATGGTCTTTTTCTGGGTGAGTCCGCCAACTCAACAGCAACATTGAACCCCTTTTCCTGATCCAGTGAACTATGGCCAAGTCACCTGCTATGTGCCTCATCTTGGAGGTGAAGCAGGTTTTGAGCCTGGGTACTGCACGAATGGGTAACCATCATGCACAAAATGGACTGTAGGCTGCTGCAGAGCTACCTTGTGGCCAACAGAGAACTGCATTCTTATGCTTCCACCCTTTACCAACCTGTACTGGTGTGCATGGTGAAGTATGGGAAAATAACCCTGACAACCTGCACAGGTTTGGGGAGGCCATCATCCAGCAGTGGATTCATATACGGGTTATACATATATATTTTTACTTGACCCAATCCCAACCTCCACACTCTGCTCCACCAGTCAGAATCGCTCTCAATCTCTGTTCCTCCTCCTGTGTGATCCATTGAGTGATTACAAGTGGGGGTATAGATACATGCATAATTATATAACTTACAGCCCCTTGTCAATCCAATCACCTGAAATATCTAGGTTCCCCAAGGCAATTAATACATCATGAGCCGTATCATGTTATCCACCTGCTCCTGTCAACCTCGATTTGGGTTTCTCGAGACCAGTCCTCAGCCTTAAGGCCAGATAAAAAACACGTCCTCAGCTCCTTGGCCTTGAGTGTGTGGCCTCAGTCCGAGGAGTTTTCTTAGAGGTACCGACCTTGACACTGGCCTCATACTAGCGCCCCCAACCTTGAGTGACCTTGACACTGATTGTGGCCTAAAAAGCTGCCGCCTTGGCCTCACCTTGGCCTAGTCGCTTTTGGTCTCAACCTCACATTGAACGTGGCTCGAGGTCAAGCAGGGCCAGGGATAGTAATTCCTTTCATAACCTTGCATCATTCTCTACAATTGACCAAGTGACGTTACCATTACACGTTCATTGTGTGTGATGTTAGCGAAACAGCTCAGATTCTGTTTAATACGTAGGCTTTTCGCGACCAATATCATCCATAATATTTTTTTCTGTTAGATCGCGTAAATATGTCATTAAACCCGCCACCACCCGACACAGCCAATTAGTAAAGTTGTTCACGTAAACAGAACATGCCAATTCGTTACTAGTACAGCAAATCCACAATATCTACAATCTGAGTACGATGTTTTGCCAGTCATTTGGTTCTGCAGTAGACAAACGAACTGGCACCTCCTGAGCCACACCAGGCTAGCTCGGCAAGCTAACTCACGGCTCGGTTATACAGTGGAAAAGAGCTACAAGACTGTCAATCTCACCCACCTCTGTGTTTCTTGTGTTACTGGCAGCTCCTCCTGATTCTTGCTGCAATTTTGGGTGTGGTTGTTTACCACCTGTCCATCTTTGGCATACTCTCCTCGAGTATCCCCAATCATGTGACCAAGATCAAGGTGATCGGTGCCCTACTCATGCCTGATATGGTTACCACCATCACGGCATCCATCCTCAACATCGTAATCATATTACTACTCAACAAAGGTTACGACAAGCTGGCCCTCGTACTCACTGATCTGGGTAGGTGTCATCACCATGACGGTTTGCTTGTTTATTTTATTATACGCCACCAGAGAATACATGTAAATTTGAAGCTTGGATAAATATTGTGCATGGTAAATAATGTCTCTGTAAAAATGTCATCATGATTTTAACCTTGCACCATGGGGCCATGAATAGCAGCATCAGTGCATCATCCAGTCACTTGTTCAACTACTGCCTGTTTTTGTCAGAACTCTGTTAAATTTTTCCTCCAGTTTTATTCTGATTGGGCTATCAGAATCGTGTCTTGAGATGAAGTATCCAATGGGATCTCTTGTAGACCAGTGCAAACCTTTGTGTTATGAAATGGCCCTAGAAGTGAGCTACCTCTGAGACCCTTCATTCAAGTGAACTCTGTTTCACACATTAGGGGGAAGCACTTTTCAATCCACACTTCTACGGAATATAATGTTAATCCCGTAACAGTCAAATTGCTCATTCTCACAACTAGAATTTCACCAAATTAAGTGATGAACCAAATGGTGTATGTTACAGATGTATATGCCATCATTAGTAATCGTCCTGAAGCCATTAATTCACTGCACTTGGGAACACATGTTACCAGAGGCCGCTGTCTGGATTTAAACCCAGGATCTCAATGGTGCCAACTTAGCACTCTGATTTCACCTTTCGATCCATTGAATCACTGAATGTAATTGTGGGCTGACTCTCACTGCAGCATTGCTACCTTCTATTCAGCTGTCAGCTATCTGCTTGTGTTGCTTATGTTGCCCGCTACTGAGCCCTTTATTAGTAATTTATCCTGCTGAAGCCTGCACCCCCTCTGAAAGGTGACCCATGATAATTACTAAGATACACCTTAAAGATATTTGAAAATCAAGTGCACTGGCTTTCAGACATCATACGGACAGTGTAAATGGCTTAATTGCAAATGGAGACTGAAGGGCACTCCACAGGGCGAATGTGGTGAACAACACCTGGTAAACAACTTGTCCACTGTCACTCATTCCCCAGCAACATCTTTGAAATTCACTTTTGATCTTCAAATTCATTTTAATGGATATCAAAGCACGTCACATTGTGAAATGTTGCTATTCCTCAATGCAGCATCATTATCAGTGGCTTTTCGTAGCCTGTGTGCCAGAAACTATGTAACATCAAAACTGATTGCCCTGTTTGATGTTTGTGTCCATGTGTGCCTTTGTATCACACCCAGAGATGCCCAAGATGCAAGGTGAATATGAGTATCGGCTGACGCTCAAGAAATTCTTATTTCAGTTCGTCAACTTCTACTCGGCGTCTTTCTACATTGCATTTTTCAAAGGGAAATTCATCGGCTTCCCCGGAAGCTACACTTACTTTGGAAAATGGAGAATCGAGGAGGTGTGTAGATCTGAGGGGTTGGCCCTGTCTTTTCAATGCTGTTTGTACAACATTTTCATGTTTTACTTTTGTAGTTGATATTTTTCCCAACAATTGTCTTCACACTGTGCTGTTGGTGAAATGTCGAAATAAGGACTCTTTCTTTTGGAACTCTAAAAGGCCTCATTATCTTCACACCTGGTCACCAGCTCTAGCATTAACACAGTCTCCGGAGTAAAAAAGTTTTCGAAACCAGACTGGAGAGCACGAGGTCACCACGAGCAGAACACGTGTTAGACTGATGCAATTGGTAACCCAGTTACCTTGAGGGTGTTACTTATCACATACTTTGCAAGTAGTACATTTGTGGTCTCTCATTGGACATTTTCATTTATATACCGTATTTATCAAATGCCATTTATTTCAAATTATATATTTGATCATCCTAAAAAATGTACAGTATTTCAGCCCCCCTCAAGGAAATGTTTAGCCACTACCTATGACTCGCTGTGGCGCAGTGGAGCACGTTGTGTTAGAGAACGGCCCCTGAATATGATATCAAGAACGAATTCTGGAGGAAGGAAATAAGCAGCATTGCGTTGTGCCACGTTAAATCAATGTCATTAAGACAGTGTTAATGACACGTAGTTTAACATTTACATAATTGCCATTCAGAGTCACCCTGAGTATTTGCAGTCACTCTATGCTCGGAAGAAAGTCCATTGCCCAAAATGTGCACCTGTTGCTCATGTTTCTGTTTGAAGGCAGACTTGTTAACACATTAGATGATTATAATGAGTATATTTGGTGTTAGATTAAGGTGCTTATTTCTCCTGCTGCAGCTTTGCAGAAAATCGTCACGAGGGCGATTAATTGATTGATATCCTCTCAAAAACAATACAGATAAAGGATAAAGAATACAGCTTATTGAAGTGCATCTGTGTTTTCTACCAACTTAATTTCATGTTTTACGATATTTTTTCAATTAGAAGATGCTCTGGAATTAAACTCACCTTATACTAAACACCAACTGCAGTATGCATGTTGTGTGTTGAACTTATTTTGCACTGTACACAGCCAATCGTGCGCATCGGATGTGTGGTGGAAGGAAAACAAACGAAACATTATCAGATGCACCACCATTTTCTTTATTTTAAATAAATGGGGGGAGGGGGGAAAGTGTTTCTTATAATTTGGAGAATATTGATATTCTTAATCACTGTCCCCTCTAACATATGGAGCCGTCACTTTTGCAGTATGAAATTGCCTGAAGAGGAGAAAGTGAGAGGATCATTAGAAATGATGTGTGGTATCCATATATGTATTTCCCAATATTTAATATCTTCAGTGTTTAACCCGAATCTATTCTCCACCCCATCCCCCATCCAGTGTCCCCCAAACGGCTGTCTCTTTGAACTGACTTCTCAACTCACTGTCATCATGGTAGTGAAGCAGATGGTTGGCAATTTTCAGGTCATCATCCCGTAAGTATTGCATGAACACATGATAGCTGTGAAGTCTGATTACAGCGTTTCCTCGTTTAACGCGGTAGACGCGTTCCTGAAAATGTCCGCGTGAAGCAAAAATACGCAAAGCAAGGAATTACTGAGTTAATCACATTTGCACAGTAAAATCAACCTGCAGTTATCCCATGGTGGGATAAATAAGTCAGGCTAGGCTGCCGTGTTACTGTATCATTCGGCATACTTTATTAAACTGCTCAGCCGCACAACTCAAGACAGTCGTTCATCGTCGACTGCTCAGGAACGCATTATAATGGCCGCGTTCGACGTTATAACAGTGTGCGTTCTGCATTATAATGTCCACGTTCCACGTTGTGTGAAAAGTTTTCCGAAATAGAAGAACCATGTTACAATGAAAATGTGTCATGTGAAAACGCATTCAGCGAGGACAGGCCAGATTTATGATTATACTTGATAGATTAATTATCGGTTCAATGACTCACATTATTGGAAAGCATGAAAAAGGTTGTAAAAAAGATAATCTCTGTTCCCACGTATGCCAATGGACGGGAGGTAATGGGTGGGGCTATCTGACATCGCCATCCATGTCACGCTGGGCAGGGCTTTCAGGGGCTTTCCCCACTTCCTTGAAGGAAAATATTTGGGAGATTGCCATTTTTAACATGGCCTGTGTAATCAATCATGAAATAAGTAGCCGATTACAATTTTTAGTTGAACAATAAATCATCTAATCGTCCCAGTTCTAGAACACATTAGATAAAGATCCCTGATATAGCCTACACAGACTGTTGGAGCAAGTGTTGTTATTACCCAAAGGGGTGCTCACTAACAGCATGGCACAGCACCACAGTCGGCCATCTTGTTTCCCCAGTGTTGATGTTCTTCAACACACCAATAACTCATTAAGGCTGATTTGACTTAGGGGAGGCTCAGGACTGGCTCAAATTATCACCATTAATCTTAACCGTGGCCAGGCATCAAACTGTAAAACACAAAGACACCTGCACATCATACTTCTTTGTGTATATGCATACCTTGTTAGCACCATTTGGGCACAGTACGTACATAGTTTATCATAGTTTATTTATTTGGTATAGCCCTGTGAGCCATTCGGCTCTTGAATCGGGTGCAACCTCAACAAACAAAAAACATGAACAAGAAACCATCTTAAAGTGATTATGTGACTGTGCAAACAGAAAATCCAGGAAAAAAACAATAAAAATATTCCTGAAATAGCACCGTACACCAACGCTGTGTGCAAAAATCCCAGTGAGATGCAAGTCAAATAACAACAACAACCACAAGACAACTAAGATTAAGGCCATCAGTCTAACTCCGTACTACAATAAACAAAAACATGGCCAAAAACAAAAAATGAACGTTTTCGAAATCACCAAAATAAAAGCCATAAATGCAATGTAACAGTGATCATAGGGACTGTGACCGAATTTTTAACAATAAACTACATAAATAAATTATAACACCAAAATCTAGAGCCATATTTTAGGCCACTGAATGGCAGTGGCAGCTAGGGGTGTACAACTCCTCTAGAGCAGTTTTGAGTGAAGATCTCATAGGTAGTGATTCAAGTTGAAGTGTATTGGCAATAGCATTCCAGACCCACATGCACATGTACAGTGCTGTCAATCCACTGCTCAATGAGGGGTGCCTCATGCCAGTTGGGTCCTGGGGCTTATCTGACCATACATCACTACTGTCTTCATTTCGGGTTGGTGAAGCTAGTGCGCAGAACTGATTCAGATACCACTCCCCACTGAGGTTAGCCACGCCTGGGAATAAAACTCAGGTCGACAGCTTGTTAGCAGTGTGCACCGGCTACGCAGTGAACACCAGTCAACTGGACAAAGTTCACCTCGTGAGTATCATGCGTTATTCCGATCAGACACTTGCTACATAGTTTCATAATATTAGACAAGCAACTCCCATGACTGACAAGAGTGTAGTGGATTGACAACGAGCTAAATGAAAAACAGCTACTACTTAGGTTTTAGCAGTTGTTCTTTACAGCTCTCTGACATGTTTTGTGTTATACTGCATATTGTTTGGCATGTCTTGACGTTTCGCTCCACGTGCTTGGGATGTTCACATGGTACAACCTGAAAACGCAGTGGAAAGCTATGAAATAGCCAACCTAGAGTTGATGAACGAATTAATATGCAGGTGTGTAAGGGTGTATCTGTGTCTGCACATGCGTACCTCCCTCCACAATTCTCCAGATGGTTCAGCAATTGGTGGGCCCAGCGTCGGGCCAAGCTAAGGCCTGAGGCTGTCTACACGCGCTGGGAGCAAGACATGGACCTACAGCCCCAGAGTCCACTTGGACTCTTTGATGAATACCTCGAGATAGGTACGATGAGCTCAGAGGATCACACTACGGAGTCAACGCGTTTTACTTTATTATAAAAAAACACACAATTGGGTATCATTTGACTATATAGGCACATGTGTATGGCCCCTTGTGTATCTGTCGCACAGGTTGTGGGTGGTATATTACCCATACTTCGGGTTGTTGAAGGCAGGGAGCACAGATGTGAGAGCTTAGATGTACAATACAACAATGTAATTTGCTGCACTGTGCTCTGCTGCTTCAACCCCACAGCTGTCAACAACTGTTGCATGGTCACCCATCTAACCAATTTCCAGGCTCAGCCCTCCTTAACTTCTGGGATCTGATTAAATCTGACGCATATTGGGTGATTTGGCCATTGGCACCAATCTTTGTAAATACTGCAACATAATTGTCTTTGAGCATGCGCGTATGTGCATATGTACAGAGTTAAGTTTTATAAACAATAGGAGCACATATTTGCTCCTCTTGTCTGCTAACCAATACAGCTATGTTGGTCAAGCTTGGGTTGATGTTTCTCCCCATACTATATATTTAAAACCCTTGTGCATTATGTCCACTGTGGTTAACTGCTGTGATTTGTTGGCATTTCAGCCACAATGCATATGCCTAAAAATGTGTGGTACAGTTAATGGAGTCCTCAATACAGGATGTGATATTGTCATTAAAGCCACTTAGTGGTGTAAAATGCTGCAAAAGAAACCCAGGTGAATCAGAGCTTAGCATTAAAGATGGTAGTGGCTGGTTGCATCTCAGAGGCCAATGTAATGGATATGAGAATTTTTTGAACAAATGATACAAAAATGTGATCATATTTTAGGGGCTCCTTTGACTAAAACACATTCAATGCATTGAAAACATGTTTTATTTACTTAAAGTAATTGCACCATAAGAGCATTACCGAATAGAACCAAAGAGTATGTCTATATCCTGTTTCACTCATCATCCTATCCTTGCCCCCCTACCCCTTCTCAAAATATACCTCAGTTATCCAATTCGGGTTTGTCACTCTTTTCGTGGCATCATTTACACTTGCGCCATTGCTCGCACTGCTCAACAACATCATTGAAGTGTGGGTCGACGCGTGGAAGCTCGTAACAAAGATGATGAGGCCTGTGGTTTCGCGAGCAAGAGGAATTGGAGCCTGGGCCGACATTCTGAGTATCGTTGCCACCCTCTCCGTAATCACCAATGTAAGTCGCCAGATTGTCCGCTCGTTTTCTCGCTCAATATCCCATTCTGTGAGTGACATAACATGTCATGTCAGCCGTGTGGGTTCTTTTTACCATACTTCACCATTATGGTCATGGCAGGTTTGAGAAGAGGTGGAGTGGGGGACCAGGAGCGGTTCGGGTATCACTCGTCACTGATGTTAGCCGTAGCTGGAAGCCAATTGCATGTGTGTTGAATTCATAGTGCAGTGCACGAATCACTGCACCACCGCTCCCATCCACTCTCTCCCAAAATCGCAAAAGGTAAAGCCTTGCAATTGCTTGCTCATGCCACTGCTGGCAGAAGGGCCTCAACTAAAGGTAGCTCTAGAGAACCCCTCTACACGGTATTTGGCCTCCTCTTCCATGATGACCAGACATGTTGTAAGATGTGGAATTACCTGCGCTAAAACAGTGATGAACCCATTTGTATTGCTAATTGGACAGAGGTGGGGGAGATTTAAGAAAATGATCCATTGCTTCAACTGTTGTGTCAGGAGACTGAACTGATGACTGTCAGATTGCAAGTCCTTATATGGTAACCATTACACTCTGGCAGCAACCCTCCAAATTGTATTTCTGAAAATTAATGTAATTGCCAAGGTGAGATGTTCAGAAGCCTTGGTCAAAACATTGCATGCTAAGTGACTGCTATCGCTGTGTCTCCGTATGCTAATTCCACAGTCATGCATCTTGGCGTTCACAACGGACATCATCCCATGCCTGGTGTATTATTATGGATACTCAGCAGAGTATGGCACAGGTTCGCCCACAATGCATGGGTACACGGAGGACAGCCTTTCAATTTTCAAGATCACCGACTTCAAGTAGCAAAATCATCCCAACATCCTGCCAGCCTGGTTTGATCCGGCAATCCACACAACCTGCAGGTTTGTGCCATTCAGTGTCATGCCCAGCTATCGGGGGTGCCGTCCCTGCGAATGTGATGCACTGATCTCTGAGTGTGTTGTCCAGGTAGATGCGACATCCTTCTGGGTGTGGCGTCCTCCTGGCTCCGCCCCTTCCTGATTAGGCTCGTTCTCTTCCTCTTTTCACTCCGTGACTTTCCTTTTAAGACCCACACTTCCCCTAGGCCCCACCTCTGTTTAGGCCCTGCCCCTTACCCTGGACACAGGGTTTGGCTTAGTTGGGTAGTAAGGGGTTGTGGTAGGGTTGGGGGAGGAGTGTGCGTGGTGGGCGGGGACAGTAAAGGGGGTGGGGGAATTGGAGGGGGGGGGGGAGCAGTGGGTATGGGTGGGATGGCTTCACAACCAAAGTCACACTTAGAGATATATAATAGATTGATATAAATTCTAGCTCATTGTTACCTTGCTAAAGAGTAATGTTATGTATTTATCTATTGATCCACGACTGCTTAATTGAGTCTCAAGATCCCTTTGCAGGAAGACCGTGCATTGGGATTCCAGTTTAAGGTGGTTTTATGCATGTGGGATGCAATAAGAGGTCCTAGAGAACCCATGATAATGAAATGAAGCTTAAAGGTCCACACAGACATGAAACCACTTGCTCTACAACCATCTTCTGGTCACCTCACAGCACAGTTAGTTAGGAAATTGATGCGATCTACCAACCCTTTTCTCTAACGTTTTTGAATTGCTGGCATACACAACTATAATCAATATAACCATATTGATCGATATTTAATATAACCTTACTTGACTATGACCAAATCACCACGAAAACAGCTGATCTTAGATTCCGGAAGTCAAGCAGGCTTGAGCCTTGTTCGTGCTTAAATTGATGATCACCATGCACAATGCAGGTGCAGTAGGCGACTGTGGAGCTAGGTTGTCAGCAGTGAGTAGTTCAGCAAAATTAACAGTTGTGCTATATTGCTCTCCCATTATCTGTACTCCCTGCCTTCACCAACCTGGCACGGACCAGCGTGAACTGTGGTCAAAATAGCCCCCACAAGCTGCACGTTGTGGGAAGGCCCTCTTTCAGAAGCTGATTTTTGAAAGGGCTGTGAACGCATATACCGTTTGTGCACAACCATACTTGTTCAATGTAGCGCCAACTCTACTTTCGAGGCACTTGGCTCAATATAGTCCATGCGTGCTTGTGTTTGTACGTGTGTAGGTATCCAGGTTATCGCTACCCGCCGGATCATCCCCAAGCCTACTCCGTCACCAAGCAGTACTGGCAAGTACTGACGGCAAAGCTGGCCTTCGTCATTGCCATGCAGGTACACATCAACATGCACACACACACATTCATAAACCCATTGAAAGATAAAGGTACAGCCCTCCAATTACTTGCTCATGTCACTGATGGCAAAAGGGCTTCTGCTATAGCAGGGGTCGGGAACCTATGGCTCGCGAGCCAGATGTGGCTCTTTTGATGATTGCATATGGCTCGCAGATAAAACAAAATATTCTCACTTGTTTTAATCCATCCATCGATTTTTCACTGCGCATGTCCTGTTCAGGGCTGCAGGAGCAATTGTCCATTATTTTAATTGGATGATACTGGCCTACGTTTGCCATTGCTGGGTAAAACAGGTAAACGCCCCCTTTTGAATCAGTCTGAGACTGCGTCTGCTCGGTCATTAGCTCAAAGCTAACCCTTCGACGAAGAAGATGGCGAAAAGAAAAAAAGACGACGAGTATCGTACATTTCAGGACGAATGGACCGAAGAATTCGCCTTTGTGGAGAGAGCGGGTTCTGCGGTGTGTCTAATTTGCAATGACAAAATTACATCGTTGAAACGGTCGAATGTAAAGCGGCACTTCGACACGCGCCACGCTACCTTTGCATCAAAATACCCTGCGGGAGACAGCAGAAAGAAAGCGTGCCAAGAGCTTCTGAGCAGGGTGCAAGCTAGCCAGCAGTCACTCCGCGTATGGACCCGGCAAGGTGACTATAATTCGGCTAGCTTTGCTGGTTCTTTAGCAATAGTGAGGAACGGAAAACCATTCACAGATGGCGAGTATGCTAAAACGTTCATGCTGGATGTAGCCAATGAACTTTTTGATGATCTTCCGAACAAAGACAAGATAATCAAACGGATACAAGACATGCCTCTGTCGGCAAGAACTGTTCATGATCGTACCATCGTGATGGCAAACAAAGTGGAGGAAACGCAAGTGAAGGACATAAATGCAGCGCCGTTCTTTTCTCTGGCTTTGGATGAGTCAACAGACGTGAGCCATTTGTCGCAGTTCAGCGTGATTGCAAGATATGCTGTTGGTGACACACTGCGCGAAGAAAGTCTTGCTGTTCTGTCATTAAAAGGGTCCACAAGAGGTGAGGATTTATTCAAGTCTTTCATGGAGTTCGCTCAAGAAAAAAGTCTACCTATGGATAAACTTCTCTCAGTGTGTACTGATGGTGCTCCGTGTATGGTGGGGAAAAACAAAGGATTTGTGGCGCTTCTCCGTGAACATGAAAATAGACCCATCCTAAGTTTCCATTGCATTATACACCAGGAGGCACTTTGTGCTCAGATGTGTGACAGGCCGTTTGGCGAAGTGATGTCGCTGGTCATTCGTGTGATCAACTTTATTGTTGCCCGAGCCTTAAATGATCGCCAGTTTAAAACACTGCTGGATGAAGTTGTAAATAACTATCCTGGTCTGCTTTTGCACAGCAATGTGCGTTGGTTGTCAAGAGGGAAGGTGCTTAGCCGTTTTGCGGCTTGCCTGAACGAAATCCGGACTTTCCTTGAAATGAAAGGCGTCGGGCATCCTGAGCTAGCCGACACCGAGTGGCTCCTCAAGTTTTACTATCTCGTAGATCTGACTGAACATCTGAACCAGCTCAACGTGAAAATGCAAGGCATTGGAAATACAGTGTTATCCCTTCAACAAGCTGTATTTGCTTTTGAAAACAAGCTGGAGCTTTTCATCACGGATCTTGAAACAGGTCGTTTACTACATTTTGAAAAACTGAGCCAATTTAAAGATGCATGCACAGCAAGTGAGCCCATTCAAAACCTTGATCTCCACCAGCTAGCTGGCTGCACATCCAGTCTCCTACAGTCCTTCAAAGCACGCTTTGGAGAATTTCGTGAGCACACTCGTCTTTTTAAGTTCATCACCCATCCAAACGAGTGTTCACTGAACACAGCCGACCTGAATTACATCCCTGGTGTCTCCGTCAGAGATTTTGAAGCAGAAGTGGCTGACCTGAAGGCCTCAGACATGTGGGTGAATAAGTTCAAGTCACTGAATGAAGATTTGGAAAGAATCACATGACAGAAAGCGGAGTTGGCGAGCAAGCACATGTGGACAGAAATGAAAAAACTCCAACCCGAAGACCAGCTGATTCTCAAAACTTGGAACGCGCTTCCTGTCACATACCACACACTGCAGCGTGTGAGTATTGCTGTATTGACCATGTTTGGATCTACGTATGCATGTGAGCAGTCATTCTCACATCTTAAAAACATCAAGTCCAACCTACGATCACGTTTAACGGATGAAAGCCTCAACGCTTGCATGAAGCTTAACCTCACCAAGTACCAACCCGACTACAAAGACATCAGCAAATCCATGCAGCACCAGAAGTCGCATTAATGGTGAGTGTTATAACATTATTTAAAAGAATAAATTCAGAGGCTTATTATACTGACATTTAGTTGAATTCACTTTTAAAATATATTATATGGCTCTCACTGAAATAAATTTCCAAATTTTTTGCTTTCATGGCTCTCTTAGTCAAAAAGGTTCCCGACCCCTGTGCTATATGGAGTTCAAGCGAGACCCTTAAGATGTATTTTAACTGCTCTTCCACACTTGTCAGACGTCTTGGGAAGATGTGGGAGTTCCCACACTGGACAGCACCAAACTCAGCCGACCAATTGACTGGATGTATTCCATTTACACTGCTAGGTGGATAGAGGCAGTGGAATGTAAAAAAACTTTCACCATTGTTTACACTGCCACGACCAAAGATCAATTCACACCCGTGACCTCTGGATTGCAAGTCTAGTGTGCAAAGCCTTACACTACTGCACCATCGTATAGACTCATCTGTGAGCAGTTGTTAAGGTCAGCAGAGCAAACCGTGATCATTGTCAATGGGTCATTACAGATAATGTCAGTAATGCTATTACACCTCACAATTGCACAGTATTTCTGAGATCACAAATAATAGTGGTAATACAATACTCACTTTCATCATGCAGCAGACGATTCATGTTGTTGATGCAATTTGTCATACGTAAGCATGTGTGCTTGTGGGAAGGGGAGCGGCTGCGTTGTTGTTTGTGAACTGCGCTACCAATCCTGTGTGACCGGAGTACTATTTCTGGCCACAGCCAACAACAGTGGAAAATATTAGAACCAGTGTTGAGCTTCCCTTAAGTTGATTCTGTCTTAAAATGAGTACTTGATGAAGTGTGTGAAAATCATCACTGGCGAGATAAAGGTGCACACCACCCCCACAGGCACTGTGCCACCCTTCATAGATGCACTTGTCTCAGTCTGTGAAAGGCTACACAGGGAATCTTTGTAGTGGTGACATGGCCGAGTGTGTTTGCTGATTGTTGCGGTAATTTGCGGCTGCCCAGGTGAATACGGTGGGTGCATTAACTGCACATCATAAATGTTGCCTGCTGCATAGTGAACGTAAAAAACCCATTAAGTAATTAAAAAAAAGTGCCTCGGTATAATTTGCCAAATGTTCAAAAATTACTCAAATGACTTAATTTAATTTGGGAAAAACGACGTAACAATATAATATGCCTAGGCTGCAGGTCCCCGGAATAGTTGATCTGAGATGTAAAGCACTTTGAGATGCTGCCATATTATATTTAGTAAGCACCCTTTACATGCATATCCTGAAACTGAAAATCCTTTACCTGTGTGTGGACGTGTGCAGCACGTGGTGTTACTCACGAAGGCCTGCATTGCATGCATCATCCCGGACACGCCATCCCATGTGCGCGCCTGCATGCGCCGCGAGCGCTTCGTCGTACAGACGATTCTGCAGCAGGCAGAGCTGGGCCGTCTCCGTAACACCCTCCTCACCGATGCCCCCAGCTCACCGCCATCGCCTCAATTCCACGTTGAGGATGAGCAGGCAGAGATGGGCCTGCTTCGCTGCTCGCTGCATAAGGAGTCTCCTGGCGTATCGCACCCACCCCAGCGGTGCCACATGGAGAATGAGCAGGCAGAGAAGACTGGTGACGATTCACTGCTGAAGGGATCCGAGGAGGAATCAAGCAGCGAGGATTCGTCAACTGTCTTCTACAGCGTATAAATCTACTCTGACTTTTAAAGGAGGCTGCTATCCTAACTCTGTTTGCACGTGGACAAGGACATTGCTGTCGAGGACTATCTGTATATATATTAATAAATAGTTTATGATTTAACATGTCTCAATCATCTCATGTCTTTTCATACGAATCACGATGTGAATGAGGAAAACTAGAAATTATTGTTATTTTGTAAATATTTTTTTATTTTGGTTTAACACGTAGGCTTTCGCGCCCAATATCATCCATAGAGGCTTTTTTGGGTTCGATCGCGTACATATATAAACGTGTCGTTTAAACCCACCACCACTCGACACAGCCAACTTGTAAGGGTTGTCACGGAAACAGAACAAAAGCCAATTCGTGACTGGTACTTTGGAGAGCCAAGCTACAACATTTACAATCGGAGTATGACGTTTTGCCAGTAATTACAACTAGCTTCATCAGGCGACAAGCCAGATTTGTGGCGCTCTCGCGCAAAGTGGGCGGGGGGGGGGGGATTACCGAGTCAACGTACATTATGCATGTGCATTATGACGGAGATTGGTTGGAGGTGGAGAGAAGGGGAGAGGGGAGGCCGTAAAGGCGGCTGCACATTCAAGGAAAGCGGCGAAGAAAGAGTTGAACGGGGACATGGAGATAGCAGAGATAAGGGTGGAGAAAGAGGAAGGGAGGATCTTTCAGTGCTCCCTACAGGAAACCCACAAAACTGCATTTCCTAAACTCGTGTCGCCTCCGTGACAGCAGCACCACCAACGCCACAGACTCACGCTCCCCTAATCGACGATACCATCTCCATTGCCGACCAGCCACGAGATGGCTGCTCTCAACACCTCGGTCGTAGTGTATGCAGCAAAAGACTTCCGGCTGGTGAGCAACCGGCCATTGCGAGGGTTGGAAAGAAACTGAAGCACGGGGCCACTCCCACAACCTTCGGGTATTTCCAAACTGGATGACATCTTGGGATGAAGCTAGAAGAAAACCAAATCCGCACTCAATAAATGGGACAAAGATTCCGGAGGAGCCTCCAGAAATGTCACAGGAGGCTCAGGTGTGAGAAACCAGACTCCATGTGGGGTCCTCCAGACCTTTGTCCTCCAGTTCATCAACATTTGTAAAAGCAGGACGTCTCAAAGCTACGTAGCATGGGTGAGGTACGATGTTGAGAACCACGTTCCGAGATTAGGCGCTTTGACAGGTTGGGGTCGGAGTTAACGTTTAATGGAGCTCACCCTACGACATTATGGATAGAAGGGTAGTGTGCCGGCACAATCCGGATACCCTGCTACACCGAAACACTCTGCTGCACCAAACTCCCTGGTACAGCTAAACACTGGCACGATTGCGCTCAAATACACACAAACTCTCGCTCGGCCAGTTGGTACACAGGTTGTCAGTTGTGGGGGACGCGGGCCCCCGGCTCCCCCCCCCGGGGGAGGACTGATCTCGGGAGGGCTGCGGGCTCCGCACTCCTCGCTCGAGTGAGAGCAGCCGCTACTCGACTCCTCGCTCGCGGGGAGAGGGCTGCCGCTCTCCGGCTCCTCTCCTCGCGCCGCAGCCCCTCGGGTCCGCGGGTCCTGTTTGTGGGTCATAGCTCGGGGTTGGCACATGGCTGCCTGGAATCAATCCGTCGCTTCTCAGCCACTCACACGCGACGTCTCCGCTCACACAACCCCGCGCACCACTCACATGAACTGAACGGGGGGTCAGGGGTCAGAGGGCAATGACGTCCTTCGCACACGCGTTGCCGCCGAGGGCGGGCAATGGAGATTGTTTAAAGGGCTGCGGGGCGGGGATTTGGAGTCGGTTTTAGAGCGACACACCAATCGCAGGCGCGGGACGGGGGGGTCGGGGGTCAGAAATAAATTCACAATGGCGTGGAGGGGTTTTCCCAGGGACGATCAGCCCCTAGGAAGATGTCCGTGTTGAAGCTGCCCGGGGAGGGGGCCTCCAAGCCGGGGGAGTCCAACGCCATGCGCGCCCTGCTCAGCAGCTCCTCCAATGAGGCTGTGCATCAAGAATCACGCATCGCACGTCACAACCACATGGGTGGCCGCTCGGCCGTCTCTGTGAGAAAATACTGAATATGCACCTGAAAAGATATGAAATGTCACCTGCTATATACAGACTATATATATACACACACCTAGGGATCTAAGGTCCTCTGACACGGGCTCCTCGTTGGCTACATTCATAAGGCCGGAGATGTCCAAATCTTTGAGCCACTCTGGGTACTTTGGTCTGCTTTGCGGGCTCTGAGCAGCACTGCTCTCTTCGCGCTGGTATCCGTCTAGTGGCTGCTGGTCTGGGATTCCACATCGCAGTCACGCAGCTAGGCCGGGTACCTGAGCGCAGGAATGCTTGTGATCCCTGACACATCCAGCTCATCCTTTTGGCTTGTCAACCACCTGGGATAGGTACTTGTCGCACAGCCGCCGCCGTTCGGCAAGTGCTCACGCCTAGTTGCTTCACTGACTCCGTAAGTATGACAAAACAGTTCTACTGGTTAGAAAAGAAATACTTTTTGGGCTTCGCTGACATAACTGGCATCAGAGCCTTGTTGCTTCTCGCTGTTGAGCTCAACCGTTCAGTTGGCTTATTGCCCCTCACCAATGATGCGCCGAGGCTGTGCGCGGTGACCCCGAGAGATGACCGCTTGCCTCTGTGCGACACTGCGAGGTCTCGGTGGGCGCCAGGCGAGCGGAGCAAGGACTTGGAGGAACCGGCATCTGGCGCCGCTAGGAGCTGGTCCGTGGTTAGACTGACCATCGGGCTCTGAGCCACGCCCGCTGCAGCGCAGCAGTGAGGCTGCACGTGCCCGAGATGAGGTCCTCCACAAGCAGCATGCCACCTGCAATGTAAGACCCACAGACATTTTACTGGTACACAATGAATTTGCTCTCTCCTAGATTCCTTGACCCCTGAACGGCAATCCTGCAATGTTGCCTTACTTTGCGCCATCAGTAACTAATGATGTCATCCGTTTGTGGAGTTTGTGAAAAAAAGTCAAGAATATGGGATAAATCAGTGCATGAGCTGTTACTGTTTAAACTTCAGATGTGTCCAGTCTAGGATCTGCAAATTTTGACACAAAGGTTGGAGGATCACTTAGATTTCACAAACTTTACAAACTCGATAATCAGTGAAGTTGCTGGAAGATGACAGGAGAAAGAAATGCATGCACCGACCTATCTGTTCAGACCTATGCTATCCTCTCATATGCGTGTGCTTACTGTGGATAGTTTTCTCTGACATAAAATGAACTCATTAATGGAATTTGCCAAGCATCCCAGTGTGGGACTCTCACGAAAATGTATCTTTAGACCTTATTAAGGGTTTTTTTTCTAGGGGAATTACATTACATTCATGATAGCATAGCATAATTGACAAGCACCCAGTACAAGCAAATAAATGGGGTTCTCCTCTCCAATTATCCCCCCTCCAGTCAACTAGCTTCGATACCTTATGAGACCTCCTTTGCCAGTAACAAGATATAGTAATAGGTTTTTACCCTTTTATCTGGCACAAAAACTGACACCTTTATACAAGGGATCATGTTTGCGATAACCACAACGCAAGTAGTCAAAATGCAAACAAGAAGACGCTAAGAATAAGAAGACGCCTTTTTGCGTCTTCTGGTCCAACACCAGTGGAGACTGGGATCTCAGAAAAGCCATCTCGGGTATGGACCAATCAAATTCAAGGACAGTGCATATTATCAGAGTTGTCTTTTTTGTTTGCATTTTGACTACTTGTGTTGTGGTTATTGCAAACATGATCCCTTGTATAAAGGTGTCAGTTTTTGTGCCAGATAAAAGGGTAAAAACCTATTACTATAGCTTCAATACCATTGCACCGCGTGCACACTCGATAGCCACTCGAGTGCAAGCACCACGGAGCGATTCCTCGCGTGGCGAGAGGCGCAACCCACCCTCATCCACACTGTGCATCCTCCTCTCCTCCGCGCGTCTCCGCTCCGCCATGCTGCGCGGCGCTGTGCTCTGCACGTATCCTGGGTGGCGGTGACGCACAGATTCCGCTCTGCTCAAAGTCCTCGATGTAGGCGTCCAGCGCACCGCTCGCCTACGAGCAGCACTGCTCTCCGCACACCACAGGGCTGCGCTAGCCCCCGCTTCCGGTCCGGAGCAGCGTGCTGCCCAGGCTGCCGCGAGGGCTTGTGTCCGTCACCGTGCTGTCGCCCGAAGGGCTGTTTGTCTCACCACCGTTGCAGTACATTTTGTACGATTTGGGATGCCTGGACCGGATGGGGCCAGGGAGAGGAATGGCTGTGGCTACAAGGTCACCACTGGTCCTGGTATGGGGGGCACCATGAGGAGCTGCTGTGTGCGGAAAGTGGGTCCGCTGTCGCAACGCGATCGCATGGGCCAGTGTCGACCACTTCGCGTTAGGTCTCTTAAGCTACTGTGGCTGTTGTCCTTTTTTCAACAAAAATTCCAGCCTTTCCCATGGTTTCCTTCATCACACCTGCAAGCTCTATGTACAATTGAAGTGTCATAAATGCACTACCTGCCTACTACTACATTATGAATGATATACATTTAAGAATTAGCTGGAGACAACTCCATGTTTAAAACACACTGTATTCAAAAGAGAAGGCTTAACATTTAACATTGGTTAACGTTTGGCATGCACACCTGCATATCAAAAAATTACCGTACTACTAATACAATGAATGCTAAATATTAAGTGGTATTACAGTAGTATGACTACTTATATTTATATATTATCGCACCTCCGAAGAGCACGGTTGGCTTTGTACGGTGCGAAAGAGATTCAACACACATACAGAATACAAAACTATCCGAGCACATTATGCGTAGCGAACCTCCAAGTTCCTTACCCTACCCTGATTCTGATTCTGATAACAACGTGTGCGGAGTACAGCTCCTTTTGAAATCCATTGCTGGCTGACAGCTGTCCCAAGCTATGCAGCTCCCAGGGGTAGGGGTTATTTACCATACTTCACCACGCTGGTCAGTGTGAGTTTGGTGATGGCAGCGGGTGATAGAAGTGCATTACAACCATGCACTGAATATTGCTGCACTGATGTCAGGGGGCTATAGAAGTGCATTACAACCACGTACTGAATATTGCTGCACTGGTGGCAGGGGGCTATAGAAGTGCATTACAACCACGTACTGAATATTGCTGCACTGATGGCAGGGGGCTATAGAAGTACATTACAACCACATACTGAATATTGCTGCACTGGTGGGAAGGGGCTATAGAAGTGCATTACAACCACGTACTGAATATTGCTGCACTGATGGCAGGGGGCTATAGAAGTACATTACAACCACGTACTGAATATTGCTGCACTGATGGCAGGGGGCTATAGAAGTACATTACAACCACGTACTGAATATTGCTGCACTGATGGCAGGGGGCTATAGAAGTACATTACAACCACGTACTGAATATTGCTGCACTGATGGCAGGGGGCTATAGAAGTACATTACAACCACGTACTGAATATTGCTGCACTGATGGCAGGGGGCTATAGAAGTACATTACAACCACGTACTGAATATTGCTGCACTGATGCTCGCCACGTGAGAGCCACACAGCAGGACAATGCTATACTGTACAATATTGAAATGATTCACCTACAAATACTAAACATTATTGTCTTAACAATCAATACTACTTTTAACATGAATAACTAATAAATGCACACGTAGTAATCGCCGTGCTAACCCTTAGCGTGCAATGTGAGCAGAACTTGTGTTGTAAGTCGTACCCAGTCCATTACCGTGCCACACACTCCCATTAACAAACCAACGACATTTACTGAATGTCCTCCTCCTTTACACGGCACAACCAGACAACACTTTGCACACCGAAGTGTCCAAGCCGCGTGCTGAGTGAAGCAAACCCCATTCACTCTGCGCTCAGCGTTCAACAAAGTTGAACCTGGCTCGCCCTTAAACCCGCGGCGTCCTCACGCCTGCCCATCTCTCTCCGTCTCTCTCACCGGAGATTATTCCATTGATCGTCTTCGCCTTGCCGTCCAGAGATCCGTGTGGATTATCCGTGAGGGTAGTTAAAGGTCGCGGTTATTCGGAGAAGTTTTTTTTATTAATTTTCCCGCCACAACCGCCGCGTCGCCAACGGCCGCTGAAGGCGATGTCCGAGACGCGCGGCCTGCGCATGCGCACTGAGGGTTGAGAGAAACCTGCGGGGAGGGGCAGCGGGGGGCGGGGAAGCCGCCGCCGTTGGCCACACCCACATTCTGGCCACGCCTATATTGAACCGACGTCACGGTGACATCATTCTGGGTCGGACTTTATCGTGGGCTGGCTGTGCACGCGAGGAGCTCCTGACTTCTGACTCTGAATTCGAGAAAAAATCAAAGATTCACGATGTCTACCTTCGTCGAGATAGGTAAAGTTTAACGTTAGTGTTAGAGATGTGTGTTTGTGTTATATGTTGAGCCTGTGGACAAAACTGCTGGGGATGTGCCAGATGTCTCCATCTAACGTTAAGGAGGTTGGAGTCTGGATAGCGCATACCAGGTGTTACAGGCTACATGATGGGAAGCAGAAGGCATTCTAGTAAAATAGGTTTTTGTTTGTACGTTAATGCTCCTCCTTTTCCTTTACCAACCCATACTCACCGGCATGGTGAAGTATGTGCAAATAACCAACACGATTCGTGCGATCGTCAAGAGGCTCTCCAGCAGGGGATTGGCAAAAGGCCGTACAGGAGCAGTTTTGTGAAAAATAATTGATTCTTTCATAATGTACATCTATGATTTATTATTATTGTTCATGTGGGTAACCTCGGCAAGGGGGGAAGCAAGGTCGGGAAGAGCGGGGGATGGGGCCGCTTTTGACCACGCCCATATTTAGGTGACGTCACGCCCTTTTGCTGTGACGTCACTATAGCGGGGAGTTATCCTTGGCTGGCTGTGCATGAGGAGCCCCCGAGTTCTAACTCACAAGATCTGAGATTAGACCAAAGATTCATGATGTCCACATTTGTTGAGATAGGTAAAGTGTAATGTTCGTGCTATGACGGGGCTTTGGGCCAGTTTTAAATATTGAGATCTCGTCAGTGTTTTAATCGGACGCTCAGCAGGGTTTGAGCCAGGATAGTGCATAACAGGTCTAAAAGTGTGGTGTCGGGCTACATGGTGGGCAGCAAAGGGCAGTCCATCAAAATTGGTTGTACTATACATACTATACGTCTTCACCAACCCACATTAACCAGAGTGGTGAAATGTGGTCAAATAACCACCATGATTTGTGTGGTCACGGCGAAGCTCTCGTAGTGGATTGACGAAGAGCTGTATTCGAGTTAAAGTTTGGGTTAATGTTTGTGTTAGCGTTAAGGTGTTTTGGGTATGGGCAGAGGTCTTAAAGGAGCTCTACGGCTGTACAGATCTCCCGTATAGTGGTAAAGACTGCTAGCGAGTACCTATTAAGACCTCTGAGGTTTGTAGTGTGGCCAGAACACGTCCGGCCGCCTTTGTCTCCCCAATGGTGATATTTACTCATTACACCAGGTACTTATTTAAGACTGATTCGACCTAGGGAAAGCAGTGATGTTAGCCGTGGCTGGGAATCCAGCTCGCGTTGCAGGCTTTTGTTGCAGCAGCAGCGCGTTCACCGCTTGTCTCAGAGGTCGAGGGTTCGAATCCAGTGACTGCCCTGATTAATACTCCGTTTGTCTTAAGCATTAAAATACGTGCCGTCTGCTTCACAGTGGACGTTAAGATCCCGTTACGTCATTCGCAAGCGTCGTTTATTGTATGTTGGCGTCACGGTGAAAATTTACCAGTTTGGAATACAATACTGTATCTCCCATCAATGAATCAATTAGGATTACGTACACAGTAAGTATCGCCCCTGCTGACAGATCACAGAACTTGGCAATTGTTGCTCGCGCCCGTGCAGGCTTCCTTCCACGCGTGGCCTGAGGTTTCCCGAATTGCGAAAATTGGACGCATTACCAACTGTGCAGCGTTTTGAGATGAAATATGCACGAAGGACGGGTGCTGAACAAACTAACAAACAAACCATTACACTACCATCAGCAGCATTCCTCTAATAACCACCACCGCTCGCCGTTCAGATCACGGCTTAAAAGCCGTGATCTGAACGTGGCTCTCTCACTCCAGCGCTGTCCTACCAGACAGTCTCGCTCCCTTCACCTGATGAAGGCCGCTTGTGTTGTGGCCGAAACGTCGTGAGAATATTATTGTGTTATTTTATTTTATCAATTTATTATTTTATTCTCATTCTACGTGACTTTACCGAAAGAACCAAAGAAGATGAATCATTGCAGTCACGAAAGCTTTAAATCGAAATTTAGTACAGTACAATTACATCAATGGATTTTGGTGCACTGCCCTCTGCTGCACACATTGCGCCAACGCAGCAGCCTATAGCAACCTGTTTTATGTATATGGTGAAATTGCTGCGTGGACAGGAGTGCACAATTACAAAGAACATAACTGTAGCCTTAAACATAAACATATTAAAGGCGACATTTTGGGCAATGACCCTACTTCACAAAACTTAGACATACCCATCCAATAATTATCCAGGCTCAAACCTGTTTAGCTCCCTAGTTTTGACGGATTCTTCTGTGTTTTCCCATAGGTTAGAAACAAACCCAATACAGAATTAAAGCTTTCGTGACTGCATAAAATTACTCATTGTTTTTTTCGGTAAAGTCACGTATGTAGAAATACAATAAAATATAATTATAAAATTATATTTTTGTTTCAATATAATTTTATTGTATTTCTGCATACGTGACTTTACCGAAAAAAACAATGAGTAAACCCAATATACTGTAATGTGCATTGGCCAAACATCCCATTGCTGATAAATTACTGTTAATCTTTTAATTAGCAACGTCACCCCCGACTGATAAAAGTTGGCAAGAACGTCCTGAATTAGTTGGGTTATTTGCTGAAAGGTACACCAAAGGTATCTTCAGACTGAAATTAAATGAGGCATTATGTATCACTCTCCAATGTGCTGAATTGGGAAGTATTCAATGAGCAGAATGGAAGCTGGCAAGCTGTCAGGGCAAAAATTATTTTGCAAATTCCAAATAACATTTTTGGCCCTGATTTGTGTCTGACCATGCTGGGCACGGCTTTTCTTAAATTGTACGATATTAAATGGGGTAAAAGTCCCCTAATAGTAATACAACTTTATACCACAGGTGTACTCACACTGGAGCAGCGTCGACATTTATGAGAAAGCGTTACACATGAGTACCATGTGCGGTTCTTTACCGACATTCCTATCCCTGCACCTGCCTCCCCTGTCCCTAATGCAACGAACCCTCTACCCCCACATTACCTATGCAGAGTTCGTGGAGAGAATGAATGAGGAGGAGGGAGCGGAGGGGCAGGAGGCTCAACCTTCAACGGTGCCGCAAGACTTTTCGACGTCATCATTTCAATCTACCCTGGCCCAGGTACGATGCGGCACAACGTGGATTTGCACAGCCTATAAATAAGCTTGGCTAATGTTAAAGATGGGAGATTCCTGGTATTTACAGATTTAGTTGTTGTTTGTATTCGCCAACTAATGGGCCCCAAAGTGTAGACATGGCTGCTTCTCATTTATAGATTTCCAGCCTTTGCAGCGGTGCGCTTTGGTGACTATACAGTGCTGATGAGTCCGAATGAGGATGACACCGGTCCACAGTTGCATATCACTGCATCACTGCTGCTGTTAGTCTGTCACATTTGCTCAACTTTATTTTGATGGTGGTTTAAGATAACATTACCACAATGCACTTAGGAAAATACTGATGTTTTTTGTATAATGCACAGGGGCTGGATGCTTTGTGTACACATTTCTCCAGGGCTCTAATTTCCTCCCATAGCTAAATGACACAGTGTAACTGGTATTGGCCAAACATACCAATGCTGAAAAAATACATGCAAATTATTCAATTGGAATTAAACTGAGCAACTTCGTTCTCGACTGCAAAAAAACAGAACTTGGTAGGATCCTCCTTGAAAATAAAAATGTTAACTCATTGAGGTTTTCCTGGGTAAACAAGCACATCATCATAGCAATGAACAACTTGCATACAAATAGCAGATTAACTTATGTCCTGTTACATGTATCATGAGCGTATGAATTAATATACATTTCATGCATACGCTATTACATCTCTCGTGTGTGTGCTTGCGTTTGCGTGTAGGACACTGTCTACTTTTGCGATGGAGTCCGTCGGATCGATTTCATCCTCGCGTTCGATGATGAGGCTCATTCTCAGGACGCCATCAACAATCAGGTGAGAACGAGGAACCTATAAAAAATGCTCCACCTTCCTGCACCCAGCATTATCACCTCTCCCCACGTGCAACACCACACGCCTCGAAACCCAGGTTTGACGCAGTGGTGCCAACTCAGCTCTCTGACCGCTGAGTCACCCTGCCACCTCCATACGAGTCTTTAAATCCACAGTATACATCCTTTATCAAATTGTATCGTCAACTGCAGACCACGCTATTCAATGAACGCTAGACTCCCATCACTCAACTCGCACATCCACACCCTGAACCATACGCCTCACTGCTTTGGCGAACAACAACCAATTATCTTTACGTATCACACTCCATCCCCAACTCAATAAATACACCACTTTTATATTGCACACACCGACACCCAGACAGATAACTTACAGGATATATGTAATATCCACATTCTAACTGCCAAATGGAAAACTATTATAACAGTGCTAATTATTTAATCAGGAAAAAAATCAGCGAGCCTCAAGATTCTCTTATAGGAGGGCCCTACATTGAGATATTTGGCCAATACCATGAATGGGAGTTTGGCGCGGTGTGGGAGGATGCCGGAATAAAGGTGATGCCCAGCACTACCATCTCCCCGCCACACCTCACAATCACAATGCCTATTAACGCTTTGCAAGGTCTGGTGGCCACCCATCCAATTATTAAGCAGGCTCCATCCTGCTTAATTTCTGAGCTCCGATCAATGTTATTGTGATTTTGCCTTAAAGCAGCGCTGTTAAGTCCTGTGTGAGGCCTCGATGGAGGAGTGCTGGTTCACTGGTTAGCGCACTGCACTATGAACTCTGCAATGTAGCGTAATTCAGTTCAAGGCTAAGCAGTGGCATGACATATCTTACTCCTATTAAACATCCCATTTGTTAAAACTTTATTTGGTATAATTATTTCTGCATTGCTGCTCAACGTTTCTGAAATACCATTGCCAGTCATCTGCAGCTGGGTTCCCTCCCTTCACCACCCAATTTGTGTCCCTATTCAACAAAAACACTGAGCTTAGTTGCACCTGTACCTAACATTTTCTGCCACTTCTTGCTCAAATTGTTTGAACTTTTTTCAGATTCACGTGTGTTTAGTTTGTGACCATTAATGCCTTTTTAGTTGTGCAATATTCCTGAAGTACCCAGTACGCATTCTCTGCAATATTGATGTTTTGGTGTTTATTTTGTTGCTACTGTACCCACGCACAATGGATCTCCCTTGTAAAATAGCAAAGCAACTAGCTAAGTGGGACCATCCCTGTAACAAATAAGGTGAACTCAAACAGTTGATTGACAAAGAGCTGTGCACATTTTTATTTTATTAAGGTCTGCTGAAGTGACACCGACTGAAGCAGTTCAGTGATGCTACTTTGCAGAGTCGTTATCTGATTTATTCCCATGTGAGGCTCTGCTCACTGTAAGAGTTCAAGAAGCTTCCTCACCTCTTGACTTGACTCCCACAGTGACACAACTGAGAATAATGTATAACACAGATGGTCAATTTTGTTTGACAGAAGAAGAGGACCGAATATCAGGCAAGCCTGATGAAGATGGGGCTAGATCTCGAGATTGAACGCAAGGAGGTAAGTTTCCTGCGTGTCTCTCTGCTATAGATGACAGACACTGTATACAAATAAAAAGGTGTAAGACTGTGATTGCTTCATAATATCACTGCTGGCATACATTCCTTGAGTAGGAGCGCTAAAGATCCCCGCTGGAGGGTATATGGCCTAATCTTCTATGCTTGCCAGACGTCTTGAAAGAGATAGCGAATACCCATACTTTACCCCACCATGCACAATCCTAAGATGGATTAATTGTGGCTTACCCATTTATACTGCAGGGTATAAACCGCCTCCACCTTAATGTGGCATGCCAGCTATTTATACTGTAGTAATAAGTGTTCGCTAACTGCACGTACATTATGCAATTTGCTTTTGGGTTGTGCCACACGTTGATCGGCACGAGGTCCCAACAACACGTGACACAAGCTCGAAAATCCACGCGGCCGTGGACACTCTTGCAAATGAGACCATCCTGTTCCCTTGAGCTCTCACCTGGTCAAAGAAAGTCTAATAAATATGTAGCGTCGGAAATGCACACCTTATACCGTTGGTATAATACTCAACTGCAGTTGCGGGCACGGGCCCATAGGGGGTGCCACCCTGAGCTGGGGATGGTCGGAAAGAGCCGGACCATTGAGGGGCCGGATTCTCCCCCCCCCCGACCCCAGGTGAGGGGTTGGGGGGTTCTTCCAGAGCCCCCTGGAAGGTTCCAGAAAGGGTGGGTACCAGGGGCGGAGAGTCCCCAGGAAGTGTATAAAAGGGGCACCTCAAGCACAGCTCGAGGTGCCCCTGGGACCCTGGGCCCTGACGTCTTTGTAAGGGCCGGGGCCGAGCGCGGACCAGTAGTTAGGACCCGCACCTTGGCTGGGTCGGGTCAGTTAGCCTCCCCTAGGGCACAGATAGCCGGAGGGCTAAGAGCCAGGTTGACTAAATGTGAGGGCACGCTAGCCCGGAGGCTGTACCTCCCTAGATAGTGGGAGTTAAGGGGAGTCTGGTTTAGAGTTACAAATACATCGTATTGCCTCTAAAAACAACGTCTCCAGTCTACAAAAACAACTAAGCGCACTCATCTATAGTCTGACAATGAACTTCGTGCCATCCACTAGGAGTCGGTGAGCGGACGCACCACCTTTGTGAAAGTACACGCGCCATGGAACCCACTCACCACCTATGCCGAGATTCTCCACATCCAGGCAAGATTCTGATGATCATTGTAATGATGATGCTGATGATTGTGATGATGATTGTGGTGATGATTGTGATTATGATGGTGATAATGAATGTGATGATAATAATGTTTGTGAGGATACATGGTTGTGATATTTGCGATGATCATGCATGTGATACAGAGTATGATGGTGAGGGTGATGATTGTGATGATTATAATTTATGACGTCCAAAGATAATAATTGTAGCACTGACATGAGATATCAAGAGACGTAAATATACAAACGGATTAGAGAAACGTACATTTGAAAAAAATATGCATATTAGCAGCATTATAGTGACTCTTTTTTTAGAAAAGTGAATGGGCTCGGGAAGGGCACGTTGCTTGAAGGGATGATGTCTCCTGGCCGAAAATGACATTGGGATGGCAGCCGAAGGAGAGAACGTGCCCAAGATGATGTATATCATAGAGATTTCGAGATAAGATTGGCTCATGTGCGTGTGCTCATGACTGGGGGTATTGGTGGGACAACTTGAAGAGTGGGTGGGGTATGCAGTGGAGGCTTTTGGCATATTAATTGTTGTATTATAGGAGTTGTTGTATTATAGGACTTGTTGAATTATAGGACTTGTTGTATTATATGACTTGTTGTATTATAGGACTTGTTGTATTATAGGACTTGTATTATAGGACTTGTTGTATTATTGGAATTGTATTATAGGACTTGTATTATAGGACTTGTTTAATTATAGGACTTGTATTATAGGACTTGTATTATAGGACTTGTTGTATTATAGGACTTGTATAGATTGCAACAACTTTGGGAGACCTTCAACCATTCGTGGACTGATTTTGGCTGATGATGATGATTCCATGTGCTCGAGGCAAAGCGTTTAATACGTTTAAAATCAAACAGGTGCCACTCAAGGAGAGCGACCTCCCCCAGGTGTCAGGCTCAGACAGTGGGCCTCTTCACTACCTGGGAAATATTCACCACCTGAACCCGGGAGCCGTGCCCAAACAACCAGACTATTTCACAGCACCCTTCCGGCGTTCGCAGCAGGACATCTATCCTATAAAGGATCATGACGTCCTCATCCCACCGGCCGTACGCAGCCAAATCGTACGTTTGTATCAATAATGCTGTATGAATAATGCCAGAATGGGTTGGTTTTTTTTGCAAAAACATGTTAATTTAATAGGGTTTTGTCGTGTTTTTATCATTTTAATTAAAGTTTTTAGCTCTGTATCGCAACTTGTGATCTCTGAGTGACATGTGGTTAGAAGTGTAAATCATTATGGTTTATTAAGAATGCCTGGATTTATGGTTTAGGGGTTGTGGTAATGTGTCCCTGTAGAGAAAGCTACCAAATTTTTGGGATGCTTAACCAGGAGACATGGTGAGCTAGCAGCCCCTCCCTTTGTAAGTCCTGCCCACATTATATAACCACGCCCCCTCAATCACTCTCCCTTGCACAACAAAAGAATGACAGACTACTGTTGATATGGTTCCTGGTGAGCAGGTATCCTGTCGAGCCAATATTGTGGGCATTTGGGGTTTTGAAACTATTTGTATTCTGAATAAATTGCCTTTGTGTATGGGAAGCATGCAGAAAATGTCTCCTTGAAATCTGGACATTGTACTTGCTGAAATCTGTACATATCTTCTTCAGTTTTTGGGGTGTTCTGGGACCCTTCCGAGTAGGGACTCAATAAGAGTTATGGGCCCATTATAACTGTGTAGGCTGGTGGTGGTTGGAGAGGGGGAAACATTTAAGAGTGGAGTGAGTAAATAATAGCTTACCCACGCAGTCCTATGTTTCATGCATGTTATGTTTGTCATGTGTGTCATGTGTGCTCACACAGGTCCACTACATGCTGCAAAGCCCCATGCCACAAGACAGCACGAACATATTAAATATCAACCAAATGATTGAAAATGGCTGCTATACAGCAGCCTATCCACTACATGACGTAAGTTGTTGGGGGGGAAGGGGGTGGAGGGCACACTGACACCCGACGGGAGGCCCATCTATGACACCTGAATTGCACACCTGTATAGGACGCTACAGCATAGTCTAAAGCTTACCACATATTTAACATTAGTGTCCCACAGAGATGCGCCGCATAGGTGTCCAGGTTCCCCAGCTCACTAAACAACACTGATTTGCATGGTTGGCTACATACGGTGCAAAAGAAGTTCAATATCCATGCATTGGAAAGGACTCCACGAGCCCTCTAGAGAGACATTCTCAACGGTATTTGGCCGACTATTTCACGTGGGACAGAAGTCTTTGGAAGAATTAGAAGTACCCACACTTCATCCCACAACACGTGACCAACCAATAGACTAACTGTGGTGCACCCATTTACACTGCTTGCTGGGCAGAAGCAGCGTGATTAAGAAACGTGGTCATTGTTTTAACTGTCGTTCCCATGAAATCAAATGGGCGACCTCTAACTTTGCAAGTCCAGTGCAGTGTGCAACACCATTACACCACAGCAGCGCCACGGCAGAGTTTTGGGGGGTGGAGCTGGTAATTTGTGAATGTCCATGCAGTGTTTGTGACTAACAATTACGTTCCCCATTGTGCAACACCATTACACCACAGCAGCGCCACGGCAGAGTTTTGGGGGGTGGAGCTGGTAATTTGTGAATGTCCATGCAGTGTTTGTGACTAACAATTACGTTCCCCATGTCAGAGTGAGTCTGTTCATCCCACCAAAAACCCGAACACGCTGGGCGACCGCAACACGCTGCGACGGGAGTGGGCGAGAGCCGGGCGCTCTTTCAAGGAGCAGCCTCTTGACCTTGTGCGGTAGGTTCATGCCCTATCCACTGCTGGATGAAGACTTCTCCAAGCCTTCACCATCTCTCCCAGTCTCCTGATGCAACGATCCATGTAGCTCCTGCACACATGCTGATTTCATTACTTAAATCTCTGTGGCGCACATCCTTTCAGATGCATTCCTTCTCTTGACTGCCACATCATTCTTAGTCTTGACCACAGGTCATCGTACCTCTTAGGGATGTGCCCTGTCCAGGAAGGTCCTAAGGCTGGACTTGAATGGTAGCTGGGAGTTGATAGCACAGACGACTGGGGAAATGGAGTTCCAGAATAGCATTTGCCCATGCCTTCCCTGCTCTTCACATTTCCCTCCACCACATGGTCCTTGCTTACATATTCGATAGCTACACCACTGGTGCCATGTGCGGTTGGTGATGTTTGCGCTGTGTGTGCGAGTGATGTTGTCGGCACAGGTCATACTTCGGGGAGCAAGTGGGGCTCTATTTTGCATGGCTCGGCTTCTACACAAAGATGCTGATCTTCGCTGCAATCGTCGGCCTGATCTCCTTTTTCTTTGGAGTATTCAGCAAGGACCGTGACATCACTAGGTACTGGCCCGACACATGCATACAGACAAATGCATACAAACACACACATACACTCATGTGTCAGATGTAGAACTCACACAGAGATCTCTTGCATGGCAATACAGACTGAATAATGAGTATCAGCAAGCACCTACTAAGGCTACATATACACGTACAGTACACATGAACATACATATACACTTATATACAATCCCATGGGATGCTGCCATGGTGATATAGTTATATCACTGGAATTGCAGTTTAGAGCTTTCCAGTGCGATCGCCTGGCATGACAGCTGAAATAATGGCTAGATTTCTTCAATTATCCCACCTATGATCAGCAGTATAAACAGAGACACTGCGGTTAGATGATTGGCAGTTCACATGTGGTGGGGTAAAATGTGGGTACTCCCACCATGTCCAAGACGTCTGGCCATTATGGACGAGTAGGCCAAATATCATCTCGAGGGGCAATCTAGAGTATCCTTTAGTGGAGGACCTTCCACCAGCAGTGGCATGAGCAAGAAATTTCAGGGCCACATCTTTAACATTTCACCACTAAATGTACATATGCACATATATACAATCTCATTATACAGTTTATATACATATACAGTACAAATATAGTACATTAAATATATTGTATATGTTCCAAATGTCTCTGTTTATATAAAAGTAAATTTAAAAAATCGAACCTAGATACAATATTTTGGACAATCCAGGGAAAATTAAACATTGTTTTGGATTGCTCAGAAAACATGACATCGCCCATTGTGACGTCACTCACGACGACACGTATCACGTGGCATCGGGTTTCGTCACTCTTGTTCACATGAATATATTGTACATTCTTACAAATTGTAAATAATCCGAAATACAAAAGCAAAAAATATTCAAATCCAAAATGTTTAAATGTGAAACGTATCCTTATAATACGACTTACACACATAGACTCTGTGGGGCTGCATGACGGACAGCGGGGAGGAAGTGCAGGAAATACATTGCTGTACTCTATGTCTGGAGTCTTCGCTTCCCATATTCAGCCCGTACTGACCGGTGTGGTAGACTAGAACCAAATAGCCCGCACGACCCACAAGGTGTGGGGAGGCCCTCAGCCAGCAGTGGATTGATAAAAGGGCTGTAAACACCCCTGCAAATCAATACATAGAGATGTTACACCACTGATATCAACGAAAATAATAATTAAACATCAGGAAATACATTTTACTTTGGAAAATGCTCGATGTTAGCACCCATCGTTTAGTTTGACTTTGTTTAAAGGCAGGGTAAGACACATTCAAAGGCAGCATGTCCTTTAGGCAAATTATATTTCTCATCCAAGTGTACTATGCCCATTAGTGTGTTTATGTTCGTGCGTGTCTATGTGTGCAGTGGAGAAATATGCAACAACACCATCGGAGGATCCCTGGTCATGTGTCCCCAGTGTGACCAAAGATGCACCTTTTGGAGGCTAAATGATACCTGCGAGACTGCGAAGGTATCACACAAATACACCATCGATGTTCCCTCTAAATAAGGATACTTATTGGTTATTGGTGCTGTGCATCATTATCACAAGACGAATTCACGTTAATGAGATTGTATCATTAACATTAACCATGATCACTAGATTGTAGCACATCATGCTAAACAATATTCTGCCATTCGTGTGGGTGTTAGAGAATTTATTATACTAATAATACACGTGTGATCATTTTGAAGGTAGTTATAGTTTTAGTAAATAGGGCATTTTAATGGACTAAGTCGATGGTTTGATAAATACATTAAAATGAATGTATCGTCACATCCCAGCGGGAGTGCAAAAGTGACTTTGAGTAAATCCGACACGATGTATTTCATGAGTATTTCTCCACGGTCAATACAAGTGGACAAAGTATTTTTGAAATCTGAATTTCAGTGCTAATTAGTTGACATGTCATGCCGAAATAATGATTATTCACTTTAAAGTGTCTGAAATGGATGTCCACAATCATGGACCTGCCCATTGCTTATTTTGCTCTTTCTGTCACATTTATACAGATTTGTTTGATACATGAATAGCGCTATAATATCAGACATTGTAGAGCATTCTCATCTCCACAATTTAATGGATGTTTCATGAGTGATTAATCTATTTTAACTTAAAAATCAATCGATGCATCGTTACTTTCCTGCTGTTGACATTGAAAAGACGTGAATGTTATGATTTAATTGTGACTAACACCTCTGATTGTGCCGTTGCAGACTTCACACATGTATGAAAATCCGGTCACCATATTCTTCGCAGTTTTCATGGGACTTTGGGGTAAGTGATGCTAAGCATTGACACACATTGTCCAGACACAGTGACAATTATCAACATGTTTGCAATGATGATGAGCACATTTGGCCACGTACAGTGTTAAAGAAGTTCAACATACATACGTACAACCATATACAGTACCATCATGTCTTGCAATGTTCGTATGCAGTGATCCTGACAGTCCTATTATGAACCCACTGCTCAATGAGGGCAAATTTGGATCATGACTTGCACACATTGTCCTACTCTTATGAATGATAACCAATAATCGTTAATGTCCACTGTGAAGCAGATGGTGTGTATTTTTTGTGTAATTAATACACTGGCAATATTAATCAGGGCAGCCACATAATTTGAACCACGAACCTCTGCAACAAGCAACGAATGCGCTACCCCAAGGCGATTCCATGAAAAATACAAAGTGGCCAGGTGGCTCAGAGTTCAGAGTGCTGCGTTGCCGCCGCTGAGATTCTGTGTTGGAATGAAAGTGGCCACCTGCGATTAAACCAGTTTATCAATTATAGTGAGATAATGGTCTCAACTCAGTCACCGATATCTGCACAAAAAATACAAAACATCCATAATGTTAAATTTGGTTCTGTACTTAATTAGGCTACATTCCAGCTCTGAGAATAAAAATGTTAGCTTGACTATCACGTAACAAACGCTCCTCTCCGTGGCAAAGCAGTTGGGAAAGAGCTACCCCTACTGTGTGGATCAGAGGTCACAGAGGTAGCTCTGTGACATTCGCTTTTGTGTAACGTTTTGTAACACGAAGAGCAGCACTGCTCTGTTATAGATCCGAAAGAAAACTCAATCTCATGCCATGCCACTCATAGTGCAAGTGGGATAAAATTCTAGATTTGAAGCGTTCGTGACTGCAAGGATCCATACTCTTTGGTTCTATTCGGTAAAGTCACGTAGGTAAAAAATAAAATAACAAAAATCACGACGTTTCGGCCACAACACAAGTAGCCTTCTTCAGGTGAAGGAACAGAACTGTCGGGACGACAGAGCTTCAATGAACGCTAAGATTCGTAGCATCTTTTAAGCTGGGTGAGAGAAGTGAGGCACCTTGACAAAGGAGTTTACATATCAAACAGGAGAATTTAGCATTGAGATAGCTGAGGGATTAGCTTGTGACTGGTCACAGAAATAGCTATGTTAAAGTCAAAGTTTACACATCCACAGAGACACCTAGTACATGGACGCCAAAGGGGCTGCACTACCCAACTATCATACAGTAAACCGATGTGAAAAACTAAGTCTAAATTACATCAATATAATAAATGTACTCAATATATTCTTCAATAAGCTGAGCTATTAACAGCAACTGGGTATACACTACACTATATAATGAATACCATATAGGAAACTAATACAAACTAAAATATAAACTACCTCAATGTTGGAGTGAACACAGCCAAGCTCAGACCGCGACCTTTAAGCTGTGTGAGAGGAATTAACTTTAACATAGCTATTTCTGTGACCAGTCACAAGCTAATCCCTCAGCTATTTCAATGCTACATTCTCCTGTTTGATATGTAAACTCCTTTGTCAAGGTGCCTCACTTCTCTCACCCAGCTTAAAAGACGCTACGAATCTTAGCAGCGTTCATTGAAGCTCTGTCGTGCCGACAGTTCTGTTCCTTCACCTGAAGAAGGCTACTTGTGTTGTGGCCGAAACGTCGTGATTTTGTTGTTTTATTTTTACCTACGTGACATTACCAATAGAACCAAAGAGTATGGGATAAAATTGTGGCAATGTACCAAAAAAATCCAATAAAGGTATTTATGAAAGAAAAAAAAAGTACTCATGAAGTTACTTTGAACATTACATTTAACAGACTACATCAGGTAACTTTTGAACCCTTGAGCAATCGATAGTCAAATTACTTTTCAAAGTAAATCCTCCCCGTGTGGTGTGTCGCAACAGCCACGGTGTTCCTGGAATTTTGGAAGCGTCGCCAGGCATCGCTCGCGTACCGCTGGGACCTGACGGCAGCGGCGCAGGAGGGAGACCCCATCCGGCCCGAGTACCTGGCTCGCTGCACGACCACGAAATGTAACATCATCACCATGGTAATGCTTTCTGCCGTCACCACGGCGACTACCTCATTACACACACACCTCTCGATTTAAAGCTTTCGTGACTGCAATGATTCATCTTCTTTGGTTCTTTCGGTAAAGTCACGTAGAATGAGAATAAAATAATAAATTGATAAAACAAAATAACACAATAATATTCTGTGGCCGAAACGTCGTGAGAATATTATTGTGTTATTTTATTTTATCAATTTATTATTTTATTCTCATTCTACGTGACTTTACCGAAAGAACCAAATAAGACACATACCTCTGTTTTGTACTGTTGCATGTGTAACTGTTCACTGTTTTCCTAGTTTTTCTTTTAACATATTTGTTGGCCTTTGCTCAATTTTGTTTTCCTCCCAATATTATCCCGATTGTACTATCGGAATCGTTATGAAACAATGTCCATTTGGAACTCAATGTTATGGAAAGGTTTGCTCAAGCATATGTTACATAATTACTTCTAATATCCCTTCAAGTGAACACACACTAGAGGGTGGCCCTTTCCCATCAGCCCTGCTACAAAGAAATGTTCATGATGGTTAAACTAATCTTTTTTTAATTCTGAAAGGTGAAATTTGGCCAAATTAAGAAAAGAAACAAATGTAATATTGGTGACCAGGCTGATCGGCTTACTACTTGGTTTAATTGGAGGCAGCTGCCTGGATTCAAACCAATGAATCTCAGCGCTGCCAGCTCAACTCTCAGACATCAGAACCATCAAATCCATTCCTTTATATCATCACATGCTTATCTAGTAGTGAGGAAAACAAATAATGGTTCATCAGTCAACCTTAACGGCTCACACTAACATTTGTCACTCCTACAGACTAATCTATATACACATGCTTTTCCGTCTATGTCCGTGCATTGTGAGTGCAGGAGGAGGAGCCTCATATGCCTAAGAGGACACTGAGGTTCCGTTACTGCCTCTCCGGGATCATGGTGTTGTTCTGGGTGAGTCCGCCAACTCAACAGCAACATTGAACCCCTTCTCCTGATCCAGTGAGCTATGGCCAAGTCACCTGCTATGTGCTTCATCTTGGAGGCGAAGCAGGTTTTGAGCCTGGGTACTGCACGAATGGGTAACCATTATGCACAAAATGGACTGTAGGCGGCTGCAGAGCTACCTTGTGGCCAACAGAGAACTGCATTCTTATGCTTCCATCCTTTACCAACCTGTACTGGTGTGCATGGTGAAGTATGGGAAAATAACCCTGACAACCTGCACAGGTTTGGCGAGGCCATCATCCAGCAGTGGATTCATATACGGGTTATACATATATATTTTTACTTGACCCAATCCCAACCTCCACACTCTGCTCCACCAGTCAGAATCACTCTCAATCTATGTTCCTCCTCCTGTGTGATCCATTGAGTGATTACAAGTGGGGGTATAGATACATGTATAATCATATAACTTACAGCCCTTTGTCAATCCAATCACCTGAAATATCTACTGGTGCCCCAAGGCAATGAATACATCATGAGCCATATCATGTTATCCACCTGCTCCTGTCAACCTCGATTTGGGTTTCTCGAGACCAGTCCTCGGCCTTAAGGCCAGATGAAAAACATGTCCTCAGCTCCTTGGCCTTGAGTGTGTGGCCTCAGTCCGAGGAGTTTTCTTAGAGGTACCGACCTTGACACTGGCCTCATACTAGCGCACCCAGCCTTGAGTGACCTTGACACTGATTGTGGCCTAAAAAGCTGCCGCCTTGGCCTCACCTTGGCTTTGTCGCTTTTGGTCTCAACCTCACATTGAACGTGGCTCGAGGTCAAGCTGGGCCAGGGATAGTAATTCCTTTCATAACCTTGCGTCATTTTCTACATTTGACCAAGTGACGTTACCATTACACGTTCATAATATTTTTTTGGGTTAGATCGCGTAAATATATGCCATGAAACCCACCACCACCCGACACAGCCAATTATTAAAGTTGTTCACGTAAACAGAACATGCCAATTCGTTACTAGTACAGCAAATCCACAATATCTACAATCTGAGTACGACGTTTTGTCAGTCATTTGGTTCTGCAGTAGACAAACGAACTGGCACCTCCTGAGTCACACCAGGCTAGCTTGGCACAGCTAACTCACGGCTTGGTTATACAGTGGAAAAGAGCTACAAGACTGTAAATCTCACCCACCTCTGTGTTTCTTGTGTTACTCGCAGATCCTCCTGATTCTTGCTGCAATTTTGGGTGTGGTTGTTTACCGCCTGTCCATCTTTGGCATACTCTCCTCGAGTATCCCCAATCATGTGACCAAGATCAAGGTGATCGGTGCCCTACTCACACCTGATATGGTTACCACCATCACGGCCTCCATCCTCAACATCGTAATCATATTACTACTCAACAAAGGTTACGACAAGCTGGCCCTCGTCCTCACTGATCTGGGTAGGTGTCATCACCATCACGGTTTGCATATGTTTATTTTATTATACGGCACAGAGAACACATGTAAATTTGAAGCTTGGATAAATGTTGTGCATGGTAAATAATGTCGCTGTAAAAATGTCATCATGATTTTAACCTTGCACCATGGGGCCATGAATAGCAGCATCAGTGCATCATCCAGTCACTTGTTCAACTACTGCCTGTTTTTGTCAGAACTCTGTTAAATTTTTCCTCCAGTCATTCCGATTGGGCTATCAGAATCGTGTCTTGAGATGAAGCATCCAATGGGTTCTCTTGTAGACCAGTGCAATGTCATTAAATGGCCCTAGTAGTGAGCTACCTCTGAGACCCTTCATTCAAGTGAACTCTGGTTCACACATTAGGGGGAAGCACTTTTCAATCCACACTGCTACGGAATATAATGTTAATCTCGTAACAGTCAAATTGCTCATTCTCACAACTAGAATTTCACCAAATTAAGTGATGAACCAAATGGTGTATGTTACAGATGTATATGTCATCATTAGTAATCGTCCTGAAGCCATCAATTCACTGCACTTGAGAACGCATGTTACCAGAGGCCGCTGCCTGGATTTAAACCCAGGATCTCAATGGTGCCAACTTAGCACTCTGATTTCACCTTTCGATCCATTGAATCACTGAATGTAATTGTGGGCTGACCCTCACTGCTGCATTACTACCTTCTAGTCAGCTGTCAGCTATCTGCTTGTGTTGCTCATGTTGCCTGCTACTGAGCCCTTTATTAGTAATTTATCCTGCTGAAGCCTGCACCCCCTTTGAAAGGTGGCCCATGATAATTACTATGATACACCTTAAAGATATTTGAAAATCAAGTGCACTGGCTTTCAGACATCATGCGGACAGTGTCAATGGCTTAATTGCAAATGGAGACTGAAGGACACTCCACAGGGCGAATGTGGTGAACAACACCTGGTAAACAACTTGTCCGCTGTCACTTATTCCCCAGTAACATCTTTGAAATTCACTTTTGATCTTCAAATTCATTTTAATGGATATCAAAGCACGTCACATTGTGAAATGTTGCTATTCCTCAATGCGGCATCATTATCAGTGGCTTTTCGTAGCCTGTGTGCCAGAAACTATGTAAGTAACATCAAAACTGATTGCCCTGTTTGATGTTTGTGTCCGTGTGTGCCTTTGTATCACACCCACAGAGATGCCCAAGACGCAAGGAGAATATGAGTATCGGCTGACGTTCAAGAAATTCTTATTTCAGTTCGTCAACTTCTACTCGGCGTCTTTCTACATTGCATTTTTCAAAGGGAAATTCATCGGCTTCCCCGGAAGCTACACTTACTTTGGAAAATGGAGAATCGAGGAGGTGTGTAGATCTGAGGGGTTGGCCCTGTGTTTTCTATGCCGTTTGTACATCATTTTTATGTTTTACTTTTGTAGTTGATATTGTTCCCAACAATTGTCTTCACACCGTGCTGTTGGTGAAATGTCGAAATAAGGACTCTTTCTTTTGGAACTCTAATAGGCCTTATTGTCTTCACACCAAGTCACAAGCTCTAGCATTAACACAGTCTCCGGAGTAAGAAAGTTTTCGAAACCAGACTTGAGAGAGCACGAGGTGACCACGAGCATAACAGGTGTTAGACTGATGCAATTGGTAACCCAGTTACCTTGAGGGTGTTAGTTTATCACAAAACTTTGCAAGTAGTACCCTTGTGGTCTCTCATTGGACATTTTCATTTATATACCGTATTTATCAAACGCCATTTATTTAAAATTATATATTTGATCATCCTTAAAAATGTACAGTATTTCAGGCCCCCTCAAGGATATGTTTAGCCACTACCTATGACTCACTGTGGCGCAGTGGAGCACGTTGTGTTAGAGAACGGCCCCGTAATATGATATCAAGAACGAATTCTGGAGTATGGAATTAAGCAGCATTGCGTTGTGCACACGTTAAATCAATGTCATTAAGACAGTGTTAATGACACGTAGTTTAACATTTACATAATTGCCATTCAGAGTCACCCTGAGTATTTGCAGTCACTCTATGCTCGGAAGAAAGTCCATTGCCCAAAATGTGCACCTGTTGCTCATGTTTCTGTTTGAATGCAGACTTGTTGACACATGAGATGATTATAATGAGTATATTTGGTGTTATATTAAGGTGCCTACTTCTCCTGCTGCAGATTTGCAGAAAATCGTCACGAGGGCGATTCATTGATTGATATCCTCTCAAAAACAATACAGATAAAGGATAAAGAATACAGCTTATTATTTAAGTGCCTCTGTGTTTTCTCCCAACTTAATTTCATGTTTTACGATTATTATATTTACTAAACGATGCTCTGGAATTAAACTCACCTGATACTAAACACCAACTGCAGTATGCATGTTGTGTGTTGAACTTATTTTGCACCGTACACAGCCTGCATCGGATGTGTGGGGGAAGGGCAACAAACAAAACATTATCAGATGCGCCACCATTTTCTTTATTTAAAATAAATGGGGGGGAGGGGGGAAAGTGTTTCTTATAATCTGGAGAATATTGATATTCTTAATCACTCTCCCCTCTAACTTATGGAGCCGTCACTTTTGCAGTATGCAATTGCCTGAAGAGGAGAAAGTGAGAGGATCGTTAGAAATGATGTGTGGTATCCATATATGTATTACCCAATATTTCATATCTTCAGTGTTTAACCCGAATCTATTCTCCACCCCATCCCCCCTCCAGTGTCCCCCAAACGGCTGTCTCTTTGAACTGACTTCTCAACTCACTGTCATCATGGTAGTGAAGCAGATGGTTGGCAATTTTCAGGAGGTCATCATCCCGTAAGTATTGCATGAACACATGATAGCTGTGAAGTGTGATTATGGCGTTTCCTCGTGTAACGTGGTAGATGCGTTCCTGAAAATTTCCGCGCGAAGTAAAAACGCGCAAAGCAAGGAATTACTGAGTTAATCACATTTGCACAGTAAAATCAACCTGCAGTCATCCCATGGTGGGATAAATAACTCAGGCTAGGCTGCCGTGTTACTGTATCATTCGGCATACTTTATCAAACTGCTCAGCCGCGCAACTCAAGACAGTCTTTCATCGTCGACTGCTCAGGAACGCATTATAATGGCCGCGTTCGGCGTTTTAACAGTGTGCATTCCACATTATAATGGGCACGTTCCACGTTGTGTGAAAAGTTTTCCCAAATATAAGAACCATGTTACAATGAAAATGTGTTGTGTGAAAACGCATTCAGCGAAAAGTCGGCTCGACAGCTTGTTAGCAGTGTGCACTGGCTAAGCAGTGAACACCAGTCAACTGGACAAAGTACACCTCGTGAGTATCATGCGTTATTCCGATCAGACGCTTGGTACATAGTTTCATAATATTAGACAAGCAACTCCCACGACTGAAAGAGTGTAGTGGATTGACAACGGGCTAAATGAAAAACAGCTACTACTTAGGTTTTAGCAGTTGTTCTGTACAGCTCTCTGACATGTTTTGTGTCATACCGCATAGTTTGGCATGTCTTGACGTTTCGCTCCACGTGCTTGGGATGTTCACATGATACAACCTGAAAACGCAGTGGAAAGCTATGAAATAGCCAACCTAGAGTTGATGAACAAATGGATATGCACCTGTGTAAGGGTGTCTCTGTGTGCACATGCGTACCTCCCTCCACAATTCCCCAGATGGTTCAGCAATTGGTGGGCCCAGCGTCGGGCCAAGCTAAGGCCTGAGGCTGTCTACACGCGCTGGGAGCAAGACATGGACCTACAGCCCCAGAGCCCACTTGGACTCTTTGATGAATACCTCGAGATGGGTACAATGAGCTCAGAGGATCACTCTACGGAGTCAACGCGTTTTACTTGATTAATATTATTTTTAAAAACACAATTGGGTATTATTTGACTATATAGGCACGTGTGTACGGCCCCTGTGTATCTGTCGGACATTGTTGTGGGAGGGAAATTACCCACACTTCGGGTTGTTGAAGGCAGGGAGCACAGATGTGAGAGCCTAGATGTACAATACAACAATGTAATTTGCTGCACTGTCCTCTGCTGCTCACAACCCCACAACAACTGTTGCATGTATTCTAGATTTGAAGCTTTTGTGACTGCAAGGATCCATACTCTTTGGTTCTATTGGGTAAAGTCACGTAGGTAAAAAATAAAATAACAAAAATCACGACGTTTCATCAGGCGAAGGCCGCTTGTGTTGTGTCCGAAACGTCGTGATTTTTGTTATTTTATTTTTTACCTACGTGACTTTACCCAATAGAACTGTTGCATGGTCACCCATCCAACCTATTTCCAGGCTCAGCTCTCCTTAACTTCTGGGATCTGATTAAATCTGACGCATACTGGGTGATTTGGCCATAGGCACCAATCTATGTATATACTGTAACATAATTGTCTTTGTGCATGCGCGTATGTGCATATGTACGGAGTTAAGTTTTAGAAACAATAGGAGCACATATTTGCTCCTCTTGTCTGCTAACCAATGCAGCTACATTGGCCAGCTTGGGTTGACGTTTCTCCCCCATACTATTTATTTAAAACTCTTGTGCATCATGTCCACTGTGGTTAACTGCTGTGATTTGTTGGCATTTCAGCCACAGTGCATATGCCTAAAAATGTGTGGTACGGTTAATGGAGTCCTCAATACAGGATGTGATCTAGTTATTATAGCCACCTAGTGGTGGAAAATGCTGCAAAAGAAACCCAGATGAACCAGAGCTGAGCATTAAAGATGGTAGTGGCTGGTCGCATCTCAGTGGCCAATGTAATGGACACGATAATTTTGTGAACAAATGATACGAAAATGTGATCATATTTTGGGGTCTCCTTTGACTAAAACACATTCAATGCATTGAAACATGTTTTATTTGCTTAAAGTAATCACAGCATAACAGCATTAAGAGTGTATGTCTATATCCTGTTTCACTCATTATCCTATCCTTGCCCCCCTACCCATTCTCAAAATATACCCCAGTTATCCAATTCGGGTTTGTCACTCTCTTCGTGGCATCATTTCCACTTGCGCCATTGCTCGCACTGCTCAACAACATCATCGAAGTGCGGGTCGACGCGTGGAAGCTTGTAACAAAGATGAGGAGGCCTGTGGTTTCGCGAGCAAGAGGAATTGGAGCCTGGGCCGACATTCTGAGTATCGTTGCCACCCTCTCCGTAATCACCAATGTAAGTTGCCAGATTGTCCGCTCGCTTTCTCGCTGAATATCCCATCTTATGAGTGACATAACATGTCATGTTAGCCGTGTGGGTTCTTTTTACCATACTTCACCATTCTGGTCATGGCAGGTTTGAGAAGAGGTGTAGTGGGGGACCAGGAGGGGTTCGGGTATCACTCGTCACTGATGTTAGTCGTAGCTGGAAGTCAATTGCATGTGTGCTGAATTCAAAGTGCAGTGCAGGAATCACTGCACCACCGCTCCTATCCACTCTCTCCCAAAATCGCAAGAGGTAAAGCCTTGCAATTGCTTGCTCATGTCACTGCTGGCAGAAGGGCCTCAACTAAAGGTAGTTCTAGAGAACCCCTCTACACGGTATTTGGCCTACTCTTCCATGATGACCAGACATGTTGTAAGATGTGGCATTACCTGCGCTAAACAGTGATGAACCCATTTATATTGCTAATTGGACAGAGGTTGGGGAAATTGAAGAAAATGATCCATTGCTTCAACTGTTTTGTCAGGAGACTGAACTGATGACTGCCAGATTGCAAGTCCTTATATGCTAACCATTACACTCTGGCGGCAACTCCCCAAATTGTATTTGTGAAAATTAATGTAATTGCCAAGGTGAGATGTTCAGAAGCCTTGGTCAAATCATTGCATGCTAAGTGACCGCTATCGCTGTGTCTCTGTATGCTAATTCCACAGTCATGCATCTTGGCGTTCACAACGGACATCATCCCACGCCTGGTGTATTATTATGGATACTCAGCAGAATATGGCACAGGTTCGCCTACAATGCATGGGTACACGGAGGACAGCCTTTCAATTTTCAAGATCAGCGACTTCAAGGAGCAAAATCATCCCAACATCCTGCCAGCCTGGTTTGATCCGGCAATCCACACAACCTGCAGGTTTGTGCCATTCAGTGTCATGCCCAGCTATCGGGGGGTGCCGTCCCTGCGAATGTGATGCACTGATGTCTGGGTGTGTTGTCCAGGTAGATGCGACATCCTTCTGGGTGTGGCGTCCTCCTGGCTCCGCCCCTTCCTGATTAGGCTCGTTCTCTTCCTCTTTTCACTCCGTGACTTTCCTTTTAAGACCCACACTTCCCCTAGGCCCCACCTCTGTTTAGGCCCTGCCCCTTACCCTGGACACAGGGTTTGGCTTAGTTGGGTAGTAAGGGGTTGTGGTAGGGTTGGGGGAGGAGTGTGCGTGGTGGGCGGGGACAGTAAAAGGGGTGTGGGGGGGGGGGAATTGGAGGGGAGGGGGAGCAGTGGGTATGGGTGGAATGGCTTCACAACCAAAGTCCCACTTAGAGAAATATAATAATAGATTGATATAAATTCTAGCTCATTGTTACCTTGCTAAAGAGTAATGTTATTTATTTATCTATCGATCCACGACTGCTTAATTGAGTCTCAAGATCCCTTTTCAGGAAGACCGTGCATTGGGATTCCAGTTTAAGGTGGTTTTATGCATGTGGGATGCAATAAGAGGTCCTGGAGAACCCATGATAATGAAATGAAGCTTAAAGGTCCACACAGACATGAAACCACTTGCTCTACAGCCATCTTCTGGTCATCCTCACAGCACAGTTAGTTAGGAAATTGATGCGATCTACCAACCCTTTTCTGTAACGTTTTTGAATTGCTGGCATACACAACTATAATCAATATAACCATATTGATCGATATTTAATATAACCTTACTTGACTATGACCAAATCACCACGAATACAGCTAATCTTAGATTCCGGAAGTCAAGCAGGCTTGAGCCTTGTTCGTGCTTAGATTGATGAACACCATGCACAATGCAGGTGCAGTAGGCGACTTTGGAGCTAGGTTGTCAGCAGTGGGTAGTTCAGAAAAATTAATAGTTGTGCTATATTGTTCTCCCATTATCTGTACTCCCTACCTTCACCAACCTGGTACGGACCAGCGTGAACCATGGTCAATAGAGCCCCCACAAGCTGCACGTTGTGGGAAGGCCCTCTTTCAGAAGCGGATTTTTTAAAGGGCTGTGAACGCATATACCGTTTGTACACAACCATACTTGTTCAATTTAGCGCCAACTCTACTTTCGAGGCACTTTGCTCAATATAGTCCATGCGTGCTTGTGGTTGTACGTGTGTAGGTATCCAGGTTATCGCTACCCGCCGGATCATCCCCAAGCCTACTCCGTCACCAAGCAGTACTGGCAAGTACTGACGGCAAAGCTGGCCTTCGTCATTGCCATGCAGGTACACATCAACATGCACACACACACACATTCATAAACCCATTGAAAGATAAAGGTACAGCCCTCCAATTACTTGCTCATGTCACTGATGGCAAAAGGGCTCCTGCTATAGGGAGCTCAAGAGAGACCCTTAAGATGTATTTGAACTGCTCTTCCACACTGGTCAGACGTCTTGGGAAGAGCTGGGAGTTCCCGCACTGAACAGCACCAAACTCAGCCGACCAATTGACTGGATGTATTCCATTTACACTGCTAGGTGGATAGAGGCAGTGGAATGTAAAAAAAACTTTCACCATTGTTTACACTGCCACGATCAAAGATCAATTCACACCCGCGACCTCTGGATTGCAAGTCTAGTGTGCAAAGCCTTACACTACTGCACCATCGTATAGACTCATCTGTGAGCAGTTGTTAAGGTCAGCAGAGCAAACCGTGATCATTGTCAATGGGTCATTACAGATAATGCCAGTAATGCTATTACACCTCACAATTGCACAGTATTTCTGAGATCACAAATAATAGTGGTAATACAATACGCTGTCATCATGCAGCAGACGATCCATGTTGTTGATCGTGAATTGCGCTACCAATCCTGTGTGACCGGAGTAATATTCCTGGCCACAGCCAACATCAGTGGAAAATATTAGAACCAGTGTTGAGCTTCCCTTAAGTTGATTCTGTCTTAAAATGAGTACTTGATGAAGTGTGTGAAAATCATCACTGGCGAGATAAAGGTGCACATCACCTCCACAGGCACTGTGCCACCCTTCATAGATGCACTTGTCTCAGTCTGTGAAAGGCTACACAGGGAATCTTTGTATAGTGACATGGCCGAGTGTGTTTGCTGATTGTTGCGGTAATTTGCGGCTGCCCAGGTGAATACGGTGGGTGCATTAACTGCACATCATAAATGTTGCCTGCTGCATAGTGAATGTAAAAAACCCATTAAGTAATAAAAAAAATGCCTCGGTATAATTTGCCAAATGTTCAAAAATTACTCATGACTTAATTTAATTGGGAAAAACGACGTAACAATATAACAACCCTAGGCTGCAGGTCACCGGAATAGTTGACCTGAGATGTAAAGCACTTTGAGATGCTGCCATATTATATTTAGTAAGCACCCTTTACATGCAAATCCTGAAACTGAAAATCCTTTACCTGTGTGTGGACGTGTGCAGCACGTGGTATTACTCACGAAGGCCTGCATTGCATACATCATCCCGGACACGCCATCCCATGTGCGCGCCTGCATGCGCCGCGAGCGCTTCGTCGTACAGACGATTCTGCAGCAGGCAGAGCTGGGCCGTCTCCGTAACACCCTCCTCACCGATGCCCCCAGCTCACCGCCATCGCCTCAATTCCACGTTGAGGATGAGCAGGCAGAGATGGGCCTGCTTCGCTGCTCGCTACACACGGAGTCTCCTGGCGTATCGCACCCACCCCAGCGGTGCCACATGGAGAATGAGCAGGCAGAGAAGACTGGTGACGACTCACTGCTGAAGGGATCCGAGGAGGAATCAAGCAGCGAGGATTCGTCAACTGTCTTCTACAGCGTATAAATCTACTCGGACTGTTAAAGGAGGCTGCTATCCTAACTCTGTTTGCATGTGGACAAGGACATTGCAGTCAAGGACTATCTGTATATATATTAATAAATGCGTTTCTGATTTTATATGTCTCAATCATCTCATGTCTTTTCATACGAATCACGATGTGAATGAGGAAAACTAGCAATTATTGTTTGTTTTGTGTACATTTTAATTTTGGTTTAACACGTAGGCTTTCGCGCCCAATATTATCCTTAGAGGTTTTTTTTGGGTTGGATCACGTACATATATAAACGTGTCGTTAAAACCCGCCACCACTCGACACAGCCAACTAGTAAGGGTTGTCATGGAAACAGAACAAGCCAATTCGTCACTGGTACTTTGGAGAGCCAAGCCACAACATTTACAATCGGAGTACGACGTTTTGCCAGTAATTACAACTAGCTTCATCAGGCGACAGCCAGATATGTGGCGCTGTCGCGCAAAGTGGGGGGGGGGGGGAGGAGGGAGATTACCGAGTCAACGTACATTATGCATGTGCTTTATGAGAGCCCTGTGATCTTGTCCTTCCTGCCTATTGTGTATTAAAATAGCCATACCAGTGGTAATCCCTATAGAAGTATGCTGCCCTTAATAGGCATGCATTTAAAAAATGTATTATTTCTTGGCACCCGTGTTCAGCTGTAGCAGAACACAAGTGCCAACAAGGACACTCAGTTGATTTAAATGTTGCAGTTCTGTGCAAAACTAGCTACTACTGGCCAAGAATAATTCGAGAATCTATCGAAATTGAAAGAAAAATTTACAGTTCGGATAGCTACCGCCTTTGTGCTGTGTGGAAGCGACTAATCAAAAAATGCATTAGATGAAACTCCGAGTAGCGACTCAGGAGGGATAGTGGTAAAGCAGTGGAGGAAAAAAAAGCTAATTTTTTAATTTGCCCTTGTTGAATGATAGAGTCGATACACACAGCAAGCGAGATTAAGAAAGCGCATCGGAAGAAATACCGGAGGTGAGAGATGTTGTATATGAGCCTTTTTCCAAAATTGATATTAACAATAATATTTGCCGTTATATATATCAGATTTTTTTTTTAACAAACGAAACAAAATAATTAATAAACCCGTAAGCCAGGCACACAAAAAACCAGGTGTCGGTCATAAACAGGCCATTAATAAATAAAGAAATAATAAAACTCTCGAGGCGAGGATGTTAGCAGCTATCTGCGAAGATCTCCAGATGAACAAGAGTTTGATGTGCCCTAAGGGAGGTCAAGCAGAGGGAAGCCCTCCCGCAAGCCAGAAATGAGGACGCCCACGGGTTAAACTATTTTTTTTTTAAACAACGGTTCAAATTTAAAATGCAATAACAAGAATGAGCTAAAAGTAGCGATCCTAACGCTCACTCCAATTAAGAACAAGCCACCAGACACATCAGTGAATTATTATCCAATGATTAATTCGCTATCAAATGATTTTCACCTTTAATACTTTTACTGTTAAAACAAAGCTTGGAGCAGGAATACCGAGTCACATCAAAGGTTATCGAGAAGGAATGAGGCGAACGGGCAAACTTACGAAAGAGTTTAAACAATATCCCAAGCAAGCCCGACCACCTTTGTCTCTTCCGAAGAGCGCGAGAGAGGAATTTCACGCCAGGGCAAACAGATCGTTATCGCAGGAGCCATCTGTACACACACACACACGAACTCACACACACAGACCCCGCCCCCCCTTTTCCACTGCGCAGAGAGAATTGTCTTTGAATATAACAGTCAGCCGCATTTTCAAAAAGTCAGTGAAGTTAAGTCAAGAGTCAAGACAGATCAGCGAGTCAAGACGTCCACAGGACGAGCAGTCGCATGGAGCGGCTGGCTCCGAGCCTCGCTGAGTAGCGAGGATCGCTGAGTCGCGATGTATCAACGAAAGTGAGTCATACAGCAGTGGAGAGAAACTGCTATCAGCGAATCAGTGCTGACAGCGCTCGAGCATCTCCACAAAGAAAGCACGTGCAACGTGGCTCAACCAGCAGCGGAAAAGCTTGGGCAGCCGCCAACAACTTCAGCAAACCAGTGGCCAAGCGCGTGCGACTTGAGTCATACAGCAGTGGAGGAAACCTGCTGTCAGAGAGCCGCCAACAACCTCAACAAAGAGAGCGCGTGCCACTCGGCTCACTCAGCAGAAGAAAAACTTGACCTGTCGCCGGCGAGCGCAGCGTCAGATACTACAGCAGCGGAAAGAGCACGCGCCGGCGTAGCTCATCCAGCAGTGGAGGAAACTGCTGTCAGCGAATCAGCACGGGCGCGTTCGCGCATCTTCAAGGAGAAAGAGCGCGGCCAGCAACGCCAAGCAAGAGCGTGCAGCAGCTCAGCCAGCAGTGGAGAGAAACTGCTATCAGCGAATCAGCACGGGCGCGTTCGCGCATCTTCAAGGAGAGGGAGCGCGCCACCAGCGTGCCATCAGCACCAGCACCAGCGCGTGCCAACAGCGCGCCACCAGCGTGCCACCAGCATCAGCACCAGCGCGTGCCAACAGCGTGCCACCAGCGTGCTACAGTGCGCAACTTCGCGTCACCAGGGCTGAGAGGGCAGCGGTCCTGCACTCAACACCCATCGGCGCGACGACGGCGAGCGTCGTGCTGACTCATCCAGCCAGCGGTGGACAGAAACTGGCAGTCGTTCGTATGCCCCCCCACACTCTCCCCCCTCCTCACTCCCCCACCGCTACACAACGAACAAACAATTTTTTTTACAAGAAAATCAACCTAGGCGTTTGCTCAACGCAAGAAATCAACAACCCTCCCATTAAACATACAAGACTCATGATAACTGCGTCAACTATTAGCTGATAACGAAAAACATCGCCACCCATTGAGTTACGTTGATGAGGCAATCAGAATTATTTCAGTCGAACGCTTTAATTGCATAATCGTTGATGAATCAATGAACAAACATCGCCGTGGTACTGTGCTGACGATTTCAAGCATAATAATTTCGCATATCAGAATGTGTTAAGGATTGGATACGAATCAAAGACCGAGTGCCGTGTTGTGTAATCATTCAAGAATACGAGTTTGCATATTATAAGGTTAAGGTTTTGATAGAATAGTTCGCATGTTTTTAATCTCTCTCTCAACAACCGATTGATTGCGTTACGCGTCGGGAATTAACCACAGGTGCCGCTATCGAGGTGAAACAACGCAATCGTGATGGTATCATGTTAACGCTGTGTTGAAATTCCAAAATCCCGAGATTGAGTTTCATATTATCCAAAAATTAAAGTTAGCTAGAAAATAAAATTGATTAAAGCAGAAGGTTTGTGTGTGATTCTTCCTGAAATTCTGCATAATATTGTTCTGCGTATGAGATCTGAATCCTGGGGACCTATCATAAGCACACTATCACCACACATAATCCATAACACACATAATTCGTAATGTTCAATCGAGAGTAATCGTCTCTCTCTCATTCACGCTCACAACGCCTGCGTCACTGCATATGATTAATTGCGTCATTCCAATTCATAACACAATCCTCGTCACCGAGGCTCGACCTGATAATCCATAACGACCTGCATTATCATAACCATGCCCACTCGCATAAATTAATACGATTACCTCTCGAATCAGCATAATTTATGCGCATAATTACACTGATTAACATAATTTCGGATAAATTATGCAAATCTCAAATTTCATTTAATTTTCATTATTTTCATCAATTTTCATAACACCTATATATACAACATATTGGGCGCGTCGTCCGGGATCTCTCGCAGACAGTTTATGCTTGAATTAAGGAACAAATCACTGTTGTATTAACCAAGGTTTTATGATCTAACGTTGCCCTGTGACTGTAACGGGTGTAAAGCAAACAAAAAAACGCACTCTGAAGGGAAATTCCAGAGTAGCAGGGTATAACAAAGACAGTTGAAGTAAGATTATTTTCTCGAGTCAAACTGACCACATCCTGTGATACAAGTGTTTTTATACGTGCTCTGAAGGGAATACCAGAGTCACATGAGTCGAACTGATGCATTCTGGATACAACTGTTTTGATATGCACTCTGAAGTGAAATTCCAGAGATGCTCGTATTAAGAGTATTTTTTGAGTGGATTGCGGGATATTGGGAACTTGTACCAAAAAGGTCAGGCCGATCTGCTACAGAGCAAACAAATCAGGGAGACACATGTAAGGGGAGCTGTATTGATGACATTGGGACACTGCTTAAGAACTGGATAAAATGGGAGAAAAGCGAACACGATGTAAAAACATCAGGAATAACTACGCTGAACTCAGACCCTCTCGCACAGACAGACAAACAGAGATTATGGGAGGAGGAAAATTTCGGAAAAGAAACAGGTGGGACTGATAACCCCGAAGTCAGAGTGAGACAGAATATTAAAACTAAATCACCAGGAGATTCTGTACTAATAACGCGAGAAAGGGCGGAGCCGAAGCTCCGAGGCAACTCTCCAGGAAAACGCACACCACGCACAGACGGCCGACACAAACACCGCGACAGGCACGACGCATCAGACAAATATAAATCAAACACCCCACAAAAACCACATAAGTATGAGCCATGGGACAAACATGAGTCACCGAGCAAAGTTGACCCACGTTACAGGCGCAAAATACACTACAAAAATCATGTTAAGCAACGCCACCGTGATGTTAATGACTCATCCGAATCTGACTCGGATGACGATGATCAACTTTCCGAATACTCGTTCAGTAGTAACACTCTGAAATTGATGGACAAAGCTCTCGTCAGAATTCCCTATTTTGATCCACACAATAAGAACAGGGACATTCACACTCACATCGCAACGGTAGAAGCAGAAGCAATGATCAGGAGTCTGAGGAAAACGGATGAAAAAGCGAGTTTGCTGAAACGCAGCTTGCATGGACAGTCCATATCATGGGTAAAATCGCTACCATACGAGGTTCGGAACTATTTTAAAAAGCTGAGCCTGGCAGTGATTCGGAAGTTTGGAGAATATTCAACACTGTCTGAGGGATTTAACGCTGCAAAATCTATGACCCAGTGTGCAGACGAGGATCCTCGGGATTACCTCATGCGATTTAAAAGAGCGTACTATGCGGGCGATGTGGATCAGTATCACGAAGGTGACAAAAG